CAATCTCCATCAGCATCTCAGGTCGAGAACAAAGTCCAAGGCCATTTATCATATCTGACCTGGACAGTGTATGCAGTGCCAGGCAGTAACAAGAGTCTGCAACTTGTGCAGGCTTCCTCGTCGAGGAAGATGAGGATGATCCCATGAACCGATGGTTGACTGCAGATCTCGGTGAGAATGGTCAGATTCGGACCGCTTGCCTGCAGGGAAAGCTGATGCTGTACCGGTGAGTTCAATTTTCCAAGTTCCAGAGCTCCGAGCGATTCTGTTGTCCTGCAACCTCGAATCTAGGAACGAGGACTAGGACAACATCCACCCCGCCGAGTTACTAGTCATCGGCTCGCCCAATTCCCCTAAGACCTGAGTTTGATGATGACCTGAGTGTTTCGAGTCCCGAGCAGGATCAGACTGAGCAAGTCCCTAGGCCGGGCCAGATTGCGCACAGCTTTGTGCGCGTGTATGTGCATACACGTACGTACGTACACGTTTGTATCCATGTGTGTGTGTGTGTGTGTGTGTGTGTGTGTGTCTCTGCGTCTCTGTGTGTGTGTGTGTGCGTGTGGATTCCTAAGAGGGGCTGCTACCGCTTTTGCTCATCAGACATCTCTCAAAGGTTCTAGATCAAGGAACCTAGGAATCTAGGCCCTGGTCTTACTTGCAGTATTGTGTTCGCGGTAACTGTGTTGATTCGACCGGCGCTCCGGTGCCCGAGTGCGTGCCAATGACTCACGGCTTGTGGACAGGACATCGATGCTCTTTGTTACGACACGCCATGATGAATAGGAAGACGGATCGGACAAACAGCGGCGAAAGCGTGCGTGAGCGTGAGCTGGTCGGTGGGTCAGGGCGGGGGGCGTGGGGCGGGGGTAATGATGGACATGCAGGTGTGGGCCACGGTGTGGAAGCAAAGGTGCTGTTGTGCTTCCAGTCGCCAGGCGTCTCTATTGACATGGAGTCCCAGTACAAGGCAGCTGGCAGTGATGAATGGGGCGAGATTCGATGCGTGGATGCATTGGGCTTGCTTGCGGATAGCAACAAGAGGAGCACAGCTAAACGAGTTCCTGGACAAGCCTGCCCAACCAAGGAACGGCTTTCAAGTATTGAGGTGACAGGCTGGACGCCGGAGCTTCAATCTGTCTCACTTCGGCCGCGACTAGCAAGTTTTCCACAACATCCTTATCTCGGGGACGCCCGTCGCCAGAAGCACACTGCAGCGGTTAGATTTGAGTCCGTTTAAATGTGTGCGACTCACTCTGGCCCCCGGCCTCCATCAATCTGCCTTATGGCCCATATAGGGCTACGCTTCGCGCATCGCAGGTCTTGTCAATTTGAGTGTTTAACAGGCGAGAATTCGTGTCTTTCTGCGCATGTAGTGCATTGGTGGTACAGTGCACTGTTGATTAGGAGCGCACCAGTTTTCCTCCTATGTGCCCGTGGGGTTAAACAGAACATCACAGAGAAACAAGAGCTGGAGTGTTTGCCTGAAGCTTGAAGTTCTTCGCAGTCCCCGTTGCCGCATGAGATTCTAAAGACTTGTCATAGGCCTGCTGCCGGCACGAGTCTTGGTTCAAGAAGTGATCTTATTCTGCGTCTACAGGCTTTCGACAAAGGCAGGAGTGCACAAGCTCAACGGAGAAAACACTCCACTTCAGGGGCGACCTTGATTCCTCTGACTCTAGCAGTGGACCCACCTCTGGGCTTCTCTCTTGCCATGACACCTCAAGCGCTTGGCAAGCGATCTTTCCGGCGACAGGCCTCACTGGCTTTGGCGTCTTCTGTGGTGGTGCTCTTGGATCCTCTAGCGATCAGAACAGAAATGCAGCTAGTTGCCCGAAGAACTGGTGCGGTCGCACCTGAGACCAGGCAGAGCCGAGCCTCATCGGAAGCATTTTGTCCTTCCTTTCGCAACTCTGCAGCCTTGCCAACCTGCCTAGCGGGCATTGTGATCGCAGCAACCGCTGCGGCCGCTCCCACGACAGAATCTCGTCATGTGCAGCTCCCGCACCGCTTTCAGCATGTGCGGCGCCTGCACAGAAGGTTGAAGAAAGTGGCTGCGCTCGCCATCGCTACATACCTCTGCACCGCTTTTGTCGGCCCTCCTCGTGACCGTCAGCCATCGCTGTGGGAGGTTCCGGAAGTTCCGGCAGCAAGAGTGGAGAAGCAGCCCGATGACAAGCTTGCAAAGCGAGTTCGAGCTGTGGCCATAGGTTCGGCCTCGGGTATTCTCCTCAGCTTGCTGGTGCAGGGCCTGCAGGGGCGCAGTCCAGCCCCTACACCATTGCCACAGCAATTCACGGGCCAAAGCCTTCAGCCTGTGTCAAGCGGTCCAGACCTCACCTGGATTGGAACACTTAGCACCGGAGTTGTGATCGGACTCTCCGTGGGATTCAATGTGGGCACCAACCAGACTCCACCACTTACTTCTCCAAAGGAGCATGCAGAGAATGAGCACGATGGCGTGTCCACACACAAGCTTGATGTTAATCGGGGGGAAGTGTCTGCGCGTAAAAAATCTCGGCCATTGAAGTAGCTAGCTCAAAGCGGCGAACTCCGCCGGAATGCCAGCAACGGTGATCTTGCTGGTCCGTGTGTTTCACGTAGTACAGGATTAGGACAGATGCGCCCCTGTCGGCCATAAGTCTGCAGACAGGGAGCCAGTCAACGCATGCGGTTTCTCCGAGATGAAAAGCAGCAGCAGGCCCAACGATTGCATCAAGCGGTATTCGTAGACGCATGCCAATTATTGGGCGAGGAAATGCCAAACGTATCGACCCGCGGCAGGTGCCAGAGAGAGCTTTGCTGAAAGACGGCTGCCTTCTCGCATGATTGCAGGGTTGCTACTGGAGTTGCGTTTCACATTGCCCCCTCTATCTAGCGACTGCGCATCATGCCATGCCGAAAACAGAACGCAATGTTTGCTTGTCAGCAGAATGTGGGAATCTGTTGCGAGATTGCTCATTCAAGCTATGGTGCATGATTGAGACCGTCTGTGCCCCGAGGCCTTCTTGGCAACCGTGCAGGTGACGAACAACGTGCCGGATTCACAGCAGCTTGCGGTTATCGCCTCGAGCGACTCTCGAAAAGTTTGCTTGCCTGTGTCTTTCAGGGGTCAGCTGCTTCAGGCACGAGCTGTGATGTTAGTTATTGTTGTTCGGCCCGGCTCAGAAAGTTGCATGAGGCTGCCATAGCAGTGGCTGTCACTGCGGACCCGATTGTGAGGCAGAAGGAATGCAGCTGCAGACTCAGCGCGTGCACATGAGATTCGCGCACTACCAGATCTGGAGAGCTGGAGGCACAGACTTCTTCGGCACTGTCACCTGCAAGCAGATTCCTGCACAGGAGGAGCCTTGGCAGTTGCTGTTTTTTGCACTTGAGCTTGAGATTGTATTGTTGTCAAGTTCACGACATCACTGCACGTCCAATCGTGATGTGGCCGGGTGGAAGGTCGTAAGACCAGACCGGAGCTCAGAGCGCCAGCCAGACAAGTCGGGGCACTGAGAGACACTGCAGTAATCGCGAGGCCTTTGAGATGCTGACAGCTGCCGCCCCTTACATTTGGGGTGTTCCTCGGTTTCAGAGTTTGCTAGTGCTGCAGCGGGTGTTGACAGAGCCCAACATGCGGGCAAAAGCATGCCTAAGGACATGGTTGGCAAGCTGGGCGCTGCCCTGATGATGTTGCTCAAGACGGTGTCGGTCACGGTGGTGCAAACTGCCGGATGCTTGCGTCTCCATGCTTTATTCTGCATGCCTGGCCTGACGCATCTCTGAGCGGACATGTCTCAGAAACGTTCCACGGAACCTCAGGTCGATGTTACGAATGTCTTTGGAGACAGTCTCGACCCACGCAGCTTGGTGCTGAATGTTTCTATGTGATCACCGGGAAGGTGCATTGAGTGCCACTGGCAAGGTAATCTCACCGAGAATGGCACCGAGCCAGATGACGTACCAGCCGGCACTGTGCCAATTGCTCAGATTCGGATGCTTAAGCCTTAAGCACCAGCTGGTTGAGTCCGGCTATGGACGTCACTTGAGCACGACGCGCGACGCACGTGAATTCAGGCTCTGGAACGTTTCCAGGCATCAGATACCTCTGGAGGCCACCGCTCCGCTCTTCGGCCTCGTCTCCCAAACTCGTTTGTGTCAGTTCACTACGACGGCAGTGCAGCTCCTGGCTACCACGCAAGAGAGGCTGCTCCTAGACCAGGCTGGCAGACTGCGATGGCCAGTGCAAAAATCGCACCTGTGATCAAAATGCGAGGCATTCGATCCGAAAAGTACTCTCGATCGATATGCGGGCGAGGAGGCCATCAATGACTCTGACAGGTTATGCGAGCAGATTGGACGCATGCATGTGATTGGCGTTGGAGGTGTGGGCCGGCATCGCCATGATTTTGTGGCTGTCTCAGTGACTACTGGCATTGCTCTGTATATGTACTCGTCGAAACCTGGAAGCCTGGCGCCTCGAGAGAGACGTGTTGGGGCCGTCAAATTTGCCGCTATCAGCATCAGCATCTCGCTCTACAGCGGTCTTGGCGAGAATGACGGGCATGCTACGAACGGCCGGATTTGAGCTGCCGTGCAGTCGAATGCCACGTGCTAGAACTGCCGGAGTCTAGAAGCATGGCCCGGTCTGCCCAAGCTCCTGCCCATCCCCCTGTGTTCCAACTCAGCGAGCTGAATGAGCCGCTTCAGTTTCAAACGAATTGCCTTAGCAAACAGGTCTGTCGTTCTTACGGCATTCCTCGCAAGCAACAGATTGCCCGCCTCAAATCTTCATTTCTCGCAACGGATTTCGGGCTCAAATCTTTCAAGTGACCAAACGTGCAAGAGACAGCTTCATGATGCTGCAAGGTCCGGATTGCAGCTGGCAGATTCTGCAGCCGCAGCAGCAAGTGCCCAGCAGGCAGTGCATCAGCAGTTGGGAGACCTGACCCTCAACTCTTCAATTGTGGGAAGGGCTGTAGCCTGATGGGCTGCCACCCTGCAGCATTGCCGGTGCCATGTCAGGTCCAAGGTTTGGTCGATGGCCTCGGCGCCTCGACACTCCCAAGGCCAGGCAGTTTGTGACCTGTTTACCGCCGCCTTCACTGCTTTGCTCTCGAGGCTGCGGGCCGGGCAGGCGCTTCCCGGCTCTCCTTCTCTTCTGTGGATTGTGAACTGAGCTCACTCTTCCCTGAGGGGATGCAGCTGGTTGCCATGGAGCCCAACTTCCACACTGAAATGCTGCTAGCAAAGGCTCGCATCCAGCGTAGAATGCCGCGAGTTCCTGGCGCAGAGAGTAGACTTCAGAGATTGTCACTAGGAGCCGGTCGGCAGCCAGCGACTCAGCACAAGCTCCTGAGCAGCTTCTCTTTGACAATTGGCAGCTTTTGCTTCATCTGTTTCTTTGTCGCGGCGAGCTGCGTCGGAGTTTGCACATTTGCACGACAACCGCAACTCTTCGCACATTGGCTCAAGCAACAGGAAAGGAAGCATTAGGAAAGCACGCAGAGAACACGGAAAGGCAAGAAGGCAGCAACCAGAAGAGCATCAGCTCCTCCTTGCGTCCTAGCGAGTTGCCAGCGAGTCGCGAGCAGACTTTGGACAGATGCTATGAACGCTCCAAAGCCACACAGATTCAACCCACAACAAGAGCCTCCACAGTCGCTTTGTTGCTTCCGGTAGTTTCGATTTTGAAGGCCTGAGCATGAATGCGGGGAACAGAATTCGACAGCCGGCTGAGAAAGCCATTCACTGTGCAGGTCGATTCGTGTTGGAGAATTCAGCGCATGCGCTGGCCATTCCGGCTTTACTATGGGATCCTCGTTGCTCAGTGTGAACCAGATGTCACTGCTCATGGGGAGGCCAAGGCTGGTAATCTTCCCTCGCACAGGTTACGGCGATTACAGCTGCGGCTACATTGGCATCCCAGGCCGACTACCTTAAAAGCGGCTCCTTTAGCCTCCGCAGGATCGAGGTATCTCAATGCGTCAGGAACCGGCCGCTTTCGATGCTGCCGTGGCAGCTGCGACTCAAGAGCCGCTTGTGCAGGCCTTAGTGGCGCGTCGAATCGAAGTGGCGAGTGTTGCTTTTTAACTTCACAGTGGATTCTGGCACCCAGGCGAGAATCCATGTGGCTGCTGGCATCAAGGCTTGGCGGACAGCTTTGACTCAGCGGTAAAGAAGTCGGCAAGAGTTACCTCCAGGTGCCGAGCGACGCATGCGACTCCAATGCGACGTCGCTCAGCCGCAGTTAGACCTTGAAATCTACTCTGTCCACGACTCGCCCTGCAGTGATGGCCTGGCCTGGCCTTGGTTTATCAAGTTGTTTAGTCCGATGCACAATGCTGGGATACCTTCAGTCGTCAGATCCCTTGACTTGGGCCGTGGGAGACGTTATCAGCATGTTGTTGTGATGTTGAGTGGAACTCGAGATCATTGAAAGGAAAGATCCTGCCATTTGCCAGCGTGTGAATGCTGAGGTCCCTTTCATATCGTTTTGTACGCTTGTCGTGTTTGTAGCATCCTTATCTGAATTGGGACTGATGTATTGAAACTCCTCTCTGTTTCCGAACCTCACAATCCCCTCTGAGTAGATCCTGCTGCGATCCTTGTTCCTGTATAACGGCTACAGCTACAGACAATCCCACTTCTAGCATCCCCCCCACATCGCTTTATAGATGAATATGCGCACCAGGCGCCGATAAGCCGTCAGGCTTGATTTTGATGTGAACAGACAATGCTTGACTTTACAGTTGCAGGGAACAGGCTAGGTAGGAGCCGGGTGGCAACAGATTCAGAGCATTCAGCATTGGATCGATTCAAAGACGCATAGCACGGATGCCATGCTTGATTTTCACCATTTCTACACAGGCTCGTTTTTCAGTCTCGGATTTCTCGTTAAGACTGAGTTGCAGATCAGCACCAGGTGGACCGCTTTGTTGGCAAATGTATTTGGCACAGAGAACAACAGCCAAGGTGCCATCTGCAGATACTCATGCCTACTGGGCATCTTGGCCAACTTCCCATGGCTCGGGGACGGGACAAATTAGCGCACACGGTTCATTGCCAGTAGAATAGGAGAATCTGGAGAGATTGCCGCGAGGTTGTCAGCCCAAGACTCTGGCTGCGGAGAGGCATGGGATTCTTCGAGGGGAGCAGCGGGCTACAAAGCTGACCCGCCACTCTCGGCACAGCAGCCATGTAACATGTTTGGCTTCGAGTGGTGCAGCACTAACTTTTTGCCAGCTGAGGAGTATCTTCCCGTTCCTAAGCGGCTTTGAGCAAATGCTCAGCAATGCGTCAATGTGTACTGCCGGCCGTGACAACACGTCCGACGTGGACATTCTCAGTTTCGAACTACAGGGCTTGGAGGCCAACGAAACCTACGTATTTCAGTTTTCTGTGATCTGGCTTCGAATTAAGGAAGGGCTGTTAAAACTGCATGTCAGCCATGGGTTTCGTATGACTCACCATCTGAGGTTATTAGCCCTGCATTTGCAGCTGAGCCTTGGACACGGAACGAGTGCCAGTGCCGATGCAACATACACTGCCTCGCTCCCGAGTCGCTGACAGACATCGGACATGAGATCCTAAGACCTCCTCTGCTCAACTTCAAGCAGAAGTCCGCAAACCTTTCCGGGAGCAACAGAAATAAGAAGAAGAGCTTTCCAAAGGATCTCGGCAACCTACCATGCCTCGCCTCCACGATGCTCGGTGCCAGGGGTGCCAACTCCCTCCGCCTCTCTCCGAGCCATTTTGCCTCCTCCAAAAAAGCAAAAGGTTGACAACCATGCCAAGTGCAGTGAATCACAAGTAGCACGGGTACGGTCATGCTTCACCAGCATGCCGCACAGTCTGGTTTGACCGCCGTTGCTTGCAGTGTCGCAGACTGGCCAGTATTCCGAGGATAACAACCATTGGCAATTTCACATATACAATGCATCTGGAAATTTGTTGTTTGCACAGAATGTCACCGGGAGCCTTGGCAGCAGCCATCTTCGATGCCATGGGGCCTTTCACAAGTACATCTCGGCAGTTGCTGTCAAGAAGACCACGGATGCACCGAGAATGCATGCGAGGTTTGACATAGTCAACGCGTCGTCGAACAACCTCAGCACTGTTGAAGCTATGATCTACGGACCTGCACATACACACAACAGTGAACTGGCAGCAGCCATCTCGTGCCCTGACTGCAAAGAGGATTGTCCCTTTTCGAAGCAATTTGGTCCTCGAGTTCAATTGTGGCGTCTTTGGCTTCTTCAGGCTGAAGCTTACTACCGCCTGCGGTGGTGAGTGGTACGCTTCTCACATCTTCGGCTTACTGCCGTGCCAACTCCTCGTGCACCTGCCACCAGGTGCCAGCCCGCAAGAAGTTTGCTTGACCCTTCAAACGATGGGGCTGTGCAGTGTGCAGCGGCTCACGTGCGCTTACACCTGCAGTCTCTCTCGTTTGACATGTGAAGGCTTCTGCGGAAAGGGAGCGGCATTCGGCGTGACTGCTACATCATCTTTCAGCCACCTGGCGGAATCTGATTCGAGCATTTGCGCGCTTCCGCAGATCAAATTTTGGCAGAGATCCCGCCCGAGGCCTTTGTCCTGACTGGATGCTGTTCGGCCTGAATGCAAGCGATGCAGTCTGGATGAACATGCGGTTTGCCGAAGTGGCCGAAGTGCTTGGTGCAGAGAGCCTTGTAGCTGACAGCGCAAATTTGCCAAGGCATCAGCTGGCAATACATCCTGTTTGACTTCTGTTTCTCATGCTCATCACATAAAGGAGTGCTGGAGTTGCGCCACAGTTGTTTTCAATGTCGAAGAATGGAGAGAGGCAGACCTGCTGTGAGGAGGTGATGTACACCAATCACAATGGGACATGCGTCACCAGCGCCACAATGAGTCCCGGAGAGTTCCTTTATTTTCCTGCCTCCAGCCAAGCTCACTGCCAGATGATGTGCAGCCAGAGATGCTCGGCAGAGTTCAGTGTCGCACCACCGGAGTTGGATCGACAATTTCAGTGAAACCTAGACTTTCCACTAGCTGGCGGGTCCCAGCAGCTGCTGAGGGAACGGGGTAGACTGCCAAGCTTGCGAGAGACTGCAGAGCAAAAGACGTGCATCTCAGGAGATGACTGCTATGGCTTCTCTGTGATGCCACCAATGTCCAATTGCTTCCTTTGGCTAGATGGTCCCCTGACCACTGCCAGTGGCAGCCCCCAGCTAATGGACTGCAACATCAAGACGAAGGCCGGAAGTTGCTTGAGCTGATGCTGAGAGATAGATTCAGTTTCCAGAGAGGCCACGTGAGAGAAGGGCCACGTGCAACAGGGTGCTTGGCTTGTCCCGTCCAAGGAAGATTGCCTTTTCCGCCTGACTGTTCCAGAGCCTCTCGCTGGCAACACTGACTTTGTCCGTTTCCCTAGCTAGTAGCATCTCGTAGCATGCGGCGCGTAGGGAGCAGCATTATCAACATGAACAGCAGTTGCCAGCTGTGCCCACTGTTCGATGATTCAGGTGTTGTGATGGTGCGTTCATTTCGTGTGTTTGATGAGAGACAGACTTTGATTGAGACGCAGACGGGAGGTCAAACACATAGACACACCGACAAACATACGGACAAATGCACTCACGCAGCCCGTGCGTGCACGAGGGCTGGCAGGTCTTTCTAGCTGGCGCTTGCTGGCATCATCTCTACGACTGCCCTGTTGTCACTTTGAATGGCAAATAATCTCTAGTATTGGGGCTTTGTAATGGCTCTGATTACTTGTTTCCAAAACAGATGGTCCAAGAAACTGACATGACACACCCATGTGCTATTTATGTACATGTGTGTATAGCCACATATACACATTTGTGTGTGGTGGCAGTCGATACCCGCGACCGAGGGTATGCAATTGCGAAAGGCGAAAGTCTCTCTCTCGCTCCCTCTCCCTCCCCCTCTCCCGCTCCCGCTCTCGCTCTCGCTCCTTTCTCTCTCTCTCGCTCGCTCTCTCTCGCTCTCTCTCTCTCTCTCCCTCTTTCTTTTTTCTCTCTCTCTCTCTCTCTCTCTGTCTCCGACAGCCTCGTCTCATGACGCAGCAATGCAATGCGCCGCATTGTGTCTGGGCAAGCGGGCCAAGTTTTCATGCTGTTGCTATTGCTCTGCGGCCTGAGAGCTTAGGCTGCTCAGCAACGAGCGCTGCTCGGTCTCCACTTGCCGTGGCAGTCGTGTGTTAGTAGCAGCCTGGGATCAGCCCAGCAAGCAGACTTGTGGACTCGTGGCGCCATCTTTGCTGAGCCCAGGTTATGCGTTCCAACTGCATCTCGAAGTGGACGATGCTGCCTGGAGCAAGCTGGAGAGTCCCAAATTGCAAGTACTATGGGCGCAATAGGGTGCTGGCAACTCAATCCTGCCAAGGTTGCCGACGAGACTCTTCCGTGGAGCCTTGTCGGCCTAGATGGCGGACTTTGGAGGCCGTATAGTTGACACGTTCCATTATCCTGGCTGCAAATTTCTCTAGCAGAATCGAGCCTCCAGCTGCTGAATCTTGAAACAAACGTCATGTCTTGCTTTTGCAGGACCTTCGAAACCGCTGTCAACGCTTCAGCCGTGCCCACCACTTCGACTACCACAACACTTGCCAACTTAACTTTGCAACTCTTCCCCAGCGTGCCTAGCAAGAAAGGGTTTTTCTTTTGCGTTTGTGCGCAGGACGGAGTGATTGGACCATTAGGCAGTGGGGGCCCAGAGTGGAGGACCCAAAGGCCTGAGCTTCGCATCGTGAATTAAGGTGCTACAGCCTTATGAAGTTGGTCCAGTATGTATACTGTTTCGATTGTCCTCGGACCTCAATGGGGGCGAGATCCATTTACACTTGCCTCCTTACTTCGAGCTTCCAGATCCGGACGAAGGACCTGCCAGAGTGAGACTCCAATGTATGCAGTCTATCAGTGAAGCCCCTAGATGCAGTGCTACTCATGCACAGCTCTGCGACAGGATATGACCGCTTCCACAGACCATTTTACATTTCAGCAGATCCTGTCCTTTTCCCGCTGACCCTCCTCACGAATGCCACAGAAGACGTGATGGCACTGCCTTCAGGCCTGCTTGCAAATTGCAACCCATTGAAAGGGGGTGTTCTTGCTCTTGCGTCGATGTTTGCAAGTGTTCTGGAGCGACCACCGGAGGATCAGAGGCTATGCCTGCTTCGGATGATGCGGGCAGGGCCTTGTTGAAAATCGCGGCTGGGCAGTGATTGGGATGGTAAGCCATGCGAGACGCGGGTCGTCTCAGAGCCTTTTTGGACTCAGGACTTGGCTGGAGAGCGACTGATGTCCGATGTCCTCTACGCATTCCAGTTTGACTTGCAGAATCCCATCGCCGCAAAGGCAGCCGAGTACTATCCGCTTCCACCTCCACCTGTTGAGAATGTGACCAACGAAACAAACATGACCAATATGAGCAATTATAGTGAGAACGAAAGCAACGCTACGAGCGAATACGAGCCCGAGAGCATTAACAAATGGCGATTTGCCACTGTTGATGGGACCGGCCGGATGATTCACGATCAGACAGTGGATGGCTACACACTGGAGCCGCCTGCCAATGTAAGCAATATATCTACTGGCCCAGTACAAGTGTTCGAACTGTTTGAAGCAGCTGCTTTTGTTCCCAGCTCGGTGGATGCAGACTCGATTAACGACATCTGTGCCGGATTCAGATTGCGAAGCCGGGCATGCCTGTCGCCATATGGCTGCGAAATCCACATTTATCCACCTCCTGGTTTCTTACCGGAAACGGAATTCTGCGGAAGAGCGTTCCAGAGGGGAACCTTGGTGAACTCAGGGTGTTGTTCGTGCGTGTCGCGACGGCTTCAGGACGTGAGGAAGGGGCACTTCTGGTCGAATCTCTGCTGCCCAGGAGCTGGGAAGACGAAGCTGGCGCAGCCTGCGCTCTTCGCGTTCCTCACAGGACAGGCTGCTGATGCAGGAGGAAATGCTTTAGGGAAGCGGGAAGCCTGTCCTGAAGTCTTTTTGTTGGCAGGTCAGGAGCATGGCCTCGATCCTTTGACTGCCTGTGCAATGCAGTGCCTCGCCAGACCGTTATGCATCGTCATGCCGTTATGTTGTCACTAGGGAGAACAGGATGTCTCTGCTGGCACGAGGCTGAACCAGACATCCATGCAGACTCACATTACGCTTCTTCTGCCCCCGAGCGACTTGATGGATTTCATGTCCTATGCTTTCCAGCACCTTGGATCCTGCAGGAATGGGGGAATAGAGTAAAAGTTGCTGTTATTGTGGTGCTCTCGAGTTATTTCATTAGTGGCCATGACGGTCCAAGGTTTACGTTGGTGAACCCGTCCCAAACACCTGTCGACAACAACTGGGCCTTGCAGCTGTGGAGCGTCGATGCGCAAGGCAGGGAGTTGTTGCATTTGGGAGGTCAGGCCTGGCCCGTGTTCGAGCAGTAAGAGTCATCATGTGTCAAAGTAGAACATGCCAGGTGGAGAATTGGAGAGACACGTTACACACCATCAAGATGATGTGTCTGGGTTCGAAGTGGATAACGCTCCAATTGTACGTCCAACGCAGTATGTGGCTTGTCGGCATCACTGCTGTGCCATCTGCTCTATTCCGACTTACACATCACCCGGAATCGTTCAGGTTCGTGCAGACAAAGCTGTTCGTTTGCTGGACCACGACTATGCAGTGGCCATGGAGTTCAAGACGAGTCGTGATTGTGGTGGCGCTGACTGGGTTGGCAGTGGTATCTGGGGTGATACCGTCTGCCTGATGAAGGCTCACCTGTCCATCCGTTGCCTTGACCTTTCTGGCAAGTCTTCCAAAGTTGCATAATGCGCAGGTACATCTACCTCCAGGCCGTTGTCCGCCGAACTGGGCGTGCAGCTTATTCGCTGCCATAGGGCATTGGGGACAAAACTGAAGTCGCTCTCAAGCCGAGGCATTCGATGCTCCAAGCACCGGTTTCCTGGAGCCGTTTCCTCAGCTCACTAGTGTGTGTGACACCGCGCCGCGGATTTGAATGCGAGAACCAGATTCCTTGGATGGAGGTGTATGGACATTGGCCTCTTCCCCGAGCTGGTAGGCCTGGCGAACAAACTTGAACGGGCAAGCACTGCTCCTGCTTTTCGGTGCAGCATAAGATGCATAATTTATAAGGCTCGCACTTGCGAGGGTTTGTTGAGGGAGCACTCCAGCCAACCTTCAAGAACCCTCAAAATGGTAAGAAAAGACAAAAGAATGGGGGAGCTGGCTTTTGCCAGAACACAGATGCCTCCTCTGGTGCCCCCACGCAGAAACCCGATGCCTACCTGCTGGTGCTCAAGTGGCCTTGAGAAAGAACGAAACCGGCTGCTGGTTCGAGCCGCTTGGCTGTTACTTTGCGCTTCCGAACTGTCTTGCGAAGACAGGAATCTAGCCGAGGTTCATCACGGGGATTCTGAGAGACACTTGGGATTATGCATTTGTGCTGTATGTTTCTTCGGCGCACCCGCTGCAAACATCGGCAACTTGCCTGCAATGTGTGGTCCTTGCGCATCTCTGTGAGTTGTGGCTTTGCCGCAGTGGGTGCTGCACGAGCACATGCAACGCAGGAGAACGAGTGGACCGTGCACTTCATCGAAAACGGTCTCTCGTCATGCATAGCAGGCGAAAGTCGAAGAGCATGCCGCTTCTTGTTGCGCAGCTCTAAGACGGCCAAGACTGGTCTGCCGGATCGAACTGAGGACTTTCCATGATCAATGCAGAAACTTTGCCGGCTTTCTCCCTTATCTCCACTACCAGCACAACCACCGAGCCCTTCATTCGCGCTGCACTCTTTGCCATGAGCGAGGACAGGTTGATGCCGCCGGTCGTCTGCCTCAGCTTCGAAGTTGCTGACGAGTTTCTCGAGCAGCCAACTTTACGCTTGTACATGCCAGAAGGCTTTCGAAGCATTGGTGGTTCCTGTGGGTATGCGGAAGCCAACACAACTTTCTTCCCTGAATGCAGCGGCGAGATGCCTGTGCCAGCATCGGAGATCTCTTGCCAGGAAGGGTTCGACAAGCAGCAACTTCGATATTACTTGCACTTCGAGGCCTCAGGTGACGCGAACAGCTCTTCCGGCTTCGCTTTTCACTTCCAGGTGAAGGCCCCGCGGACGAACCCAGAACCGAACACGTGGAGCTTGACACTGAGTGCTCAGACGCAGAAGAAGGCAGCTTGGACAGGATCATGGTTCTTGCGGAGACAGACAGGCGAGAAAGAAAGCAGAGAGAGACGGAGACAGGGAGACAGCGCCGCATCGAACCCGCCCTTCAGACTTGACCGGATTGGCGCTGCAGCCGAGGCTTACGGTCAGAACCACGTGGCAGGATTCATGGTAGAGGATCGCTGTGCGAGCCTAAAGGCATGTGCAGTGGCTCGCACAGAAGCGGACTCCGAAACGACACACGGTACCGAGGCAGCTGCACATATCAGGGGCACCTACTGCCGTCCGATGTGATCTCCCAGTATCCCGAGGAGAGTCCCGGAATGCAGCTCGGCCACCAAAAGAAGACATGGCGACACCAACACGACGGGCTTCAGAGCATGTCGCGAGTTGTACAGGTATGGAGACTTCCCGAACATCGGTGTCTATGGCACAAGCTGTGCTCCCTGGGACTTTGTTCCAGGAACACCGCACTATGGCTTCCCGGCTGCATTTTTTCGCAATCAAGCGCATCTGGATACCTCTTTCCCGCCACGCCAGGAAACTGTTCTGAGAACAGCAACTGGTCCAGCCCTTTGTACAGCTGGTGCCAGCTGCCTTGGCAGCCTGCCCGCACTTCCGACTGCTTCACTGCGTGTGATGTTTGGAGCGATCCGAAAGGGAAGACAGACTGAGGTGCTATGTGAGCAGCCAGTGCAACAGCAAGCTTGCATCAAGAATCTTCAATGGTTCCGATTTGTATTACAGCTACGACGTATGTGGGCAGGCACCGGATTGCTATAACCAAATGGACCAGCCGCGCTGTCCATACGATCCGTCTGGCACAGCATCCTACGCTGTCCACAAGGGGAATGGCTGCGAGTGCCTGTACCACGGTGCAAATCTGCCACTGAGTGTCTACATGGAGTTTCCTTCGCACCATCCAGGTATGTATGAGAACCTTGAGCTGCAAAGTCCGAGTTGCGAGAGCGTAATGTGACACCGTTGGAGTGCTTTATTACGTCGGGGCGCTGCAACATCCGGCCGCCGCATGTGGCGGTCGTGGCAGTGGGGTTGTTCCTGTTGTTCAGTTGTTCTAATTTGTCGGGGTTGTGCTTGTGGTGTTTTATGCTGGTTGCTGCTGTCGCCGTCGCTGTCGCTATTGCTGTTGCTGCTGCTGCGACGGTGGCGGTATGTGGTGGTGTTCTTCGTTAAAATGTTGTGATCGCCCTCGTGGATGGCACTGGTCTTGGCCTTAGTTGCGGAGGTGGTTGTGGCGGTCGGCGCCCTCGTTGTCGTTGGTGCCGTGGTCGCCGTGCTTGTGTTTGTATGTGTTTGTGTTTGTGATAGCATGCGGCAGCCTCTATGACAGCAGCCTGAAGCAGTCACAGAGTCCTGCCTGATCCATGGCTGAGCCGCTGACAGCTGGGTCCCCATTCCCGGGCCTTCGCTTCTCTTGGTGGTAAGTTGTACGGTTGTAAGATGTTTTTTTCCGTGGGGTGAACGGGGCCACGTCTTGTGTTTCTGGACTTGGCTTTGTTATGGAAGCCCAGTAGCAGACGGCGCGTCTACAGCAAGATGTCTTGCCATCGACATCGGAGAACAGTCCTGCAGCGATGCGTCCAGCTATGTTAATCTCTTCAGTGGTTGCATAGCTCGGCAGATTCTTTCGCAGCACGAACCGCGAAGACTGGGTAGCCTCTTTCTGCGCGCAGCCCTCAGGCCTCGAGCTCCCTCAGTACGCCTCATTTCATTTTCTAAATGCTCCGAGTTGGAGCGCGAGTGCCTAAACAGAATGTTATGTTTCACCGGGTGTTACACGGTGTTAGCAGCGTTTGGCGAGCTTTTGGGATCCTGGGACTTGCATCTCTCTCCGATCTTCAGTTCGGACGACCTCCCTGCTGTGCGACTGTCAGCTCGGAGTCCATTTTCCGGTGTGTCTGTAGACAAATCTGGCCTCCTGAAGCGGTGCTGGCTTAAGGCACCGCGCGTCTTTCACGTTTTTGGGCGGCGCTGGTACACAGCACGTGTCAACTTTAAGGAGCACTGGTTGAAAAAAGGAGCACTGGTTAAGGCACTGCAGGCTTCAAGCCGTCCACTTGCCCGGCCGCCAAGCCCAAAGCGCTCGCGCAGCGTCCAACAGAACTGATAGTGTTGCGGGCGTGGTTGTGGGTGCGGTGGAGGTCACGATTAATGGCGACAGTCGCGGTGCAGCGGTGTATTTTCTCGGTTTGTATGTTCTTCTTGACTAACTGGCTAACCTTGCTGCTGCTTTGTGCCGTTTGCTGGGTCCAAGGAATTTGACCTACATCAGCATCTATGGCACTACCTGCGCAGCATGGGACCAGATGCCGGAGACGCCGGGATCAGCGTACTGCGCAAACAACGCTGACTGGTGTCACTCGCAATTCAACTGGTGTCAGCTCCCATGGTGCTTTGTTGGGGAAGGCTGTTCGAGCGGGCTAGCAATGCAGGGGTTCGGTGGATCTGCTGCATCTTTCTACAGTTATGACACATGCCTGTCAGCACCAGACTGCCGCACAATGCCGTTTGACGAGTCGTGTCCCTTTGATCACGCCGATGTGCATTGGGCAACGGCAGCAGATTGTCCCAATGGTTGGTCGGACGTGTGCAAGTGCATGTATCAAGGGGAGATGCTCCCGCCGCAAGTCTACCTGAACTATCCCATGGATGAGCCCGGTAAATATGCACAGCTCGCCAATGTTGCCATTTACGGAACGTCATGTGCGGCGTGGGACTCGGTTCCTTCTACACCGATGGCAGGAATGTGCAGCGGGGCATCCGACTTTACCACGGCAGAACGCAACTGGTGCCAAGTACCGTGGTGCTACGTGAGTGCAGACTGCGCATCGGCTGTTGCCTCAACTGTGTTCAACGGTTCGGACGTGCTACACTACAGTTATGATGCTTGCGGAAATGCTCCAGATTGTTATAACAACTTTGCTGGCGATCTCCGCTGCCCCTACGATCCGAGTGGTGATGGCACCTTCTCTGTGCACAAGGGTCACGGATGCGAGTGCATTTTTCAAGGTGTTGAGATGCCGCTGGAGGTGTATATGCACTATCCGGACGATCATCCAGGCAGGTTTGCAAACTTGACCTACATCAGCATCTATGGCACTACCTGCGCAGCATGGGACCAGATACCGGAGACGCCGGGATCAGCATACTGCGCAAACAACGCTGACTGGTGTCACTCGCAGTTCAACTGGTGTCAGCTCCCGTGGTGCTTTGTTGGGGAAGGCTGTTCGAGCGGGCTAGCAATGCAGGGGTTCGGTGGATCTGCTGCATCTTTCTACAGCTATGACACATGCCTGTCAACACCAGACTGCCGCACAATGCCGTTTGACGAGTCGTGTCCCTTTGATCACGCCGATGCGCATTGGGCAACGGCAGCAGATTGTCCCAATGGTTGGTCGGACGTGTGCAAGTGCATGTATCAAGGGGAGATGCTCCCGCCGCAAGTCTACCTGAACTATCCCATGGATGAGCCCGGTAAATATGCACAGCTCGCCAATGTTGCCATTTACGGAACGTCATGTGCGGCGTGGGACTCGGTTCCTTCTACACCGATGGCAGGAATGTGCAGCGGGGCATCCGACTTTACCACGGCAGAACGCAACTGGTGCCAAGTACCGTGGTGCTACGTGAGTGCAGACTGCGCATCGGCTGTTGCCTCAACTGTGTTCAACGGTTCGGACGTGCTACACTACAGTTATGATGCTTGCGGAAATGCTCCAGATTGTTATAACAACTTCGCTGGCGATCTCCGCTGCCCCTACGATCCGAGTGGTGATGGTACCTTCTCTGTGCACAAGGGTCACGGATGCGAGTGCATTTTTCAAGGTGATGAGATGCCGTTGGAGGTGTATATGCACTATCCGGACGATCATCCAGGCAGGTTTGCAAATTTGACCTACATCAGCATCTATGGCACTACCTGCGCAGCATGGGACCAGATACCGGAGACGCCGGGATCAGCATACTGCGCAAACAACGCTGACTGGTGTCACTCGCATTTCAACTGGTGTCAGCTCCCGTGGTGCTTTGTTGGGGAAGGCTGTTCGAGCGGGCTAGCAATGCAGGGGTTCGGTGGATCTGCTGCATCTTTCTACAGCTATGACACATGCCTGTCAGCACCAGACTGCCGCACAATGCCGTTTGAAGAGTCGTGTCCCTTCGATAGTAGGGACACGAATTGGCCGACTGCCGTAGAGTGTCCGGACAGCTGGTCCGATGTGTGCGAATGCCAATTCCAGGGCTCGGTGCTGCCAGAGGCTTTGTTCATGCAATATCCCATGGAGGAGCCTGGAAAGTATGCCCACATGCCCAACATCGGTGTCTACGGCACAACCTGTGCTGCCTGGGATCAAGTGCCTGGAACCCCCATGTCAAGCAGATGTGCGCCGGGTTCTGATTGGTCGAGTTCCGACTTCAATTGGTGCCAGCTACCATGGTGCTTTGTGAACAGTTCCTGCGCTTCGAGGATTCCAACTCGGATGTTTAATGGATCGATGCTCTACTACAGCTATGATTCCTGCGGCAATGCACCAGATTGCTATCATGATTTCGGGCAAGATCTGCGGTGTCCGTACGACCCGTACGGCAGCAAGAGTTATAAGGTTCATAAGGCTGATGGCTGCGAGTGTTTATTCCATGGGCTTGAGCTTCCACCTGAAACATTTCTCTTAGATGCAGATGCCGACTCGGACACCTCAGAAATTTTCGGCAACACGTCGTTTGCAAGGATCTATGGGACGACCTGTGCGGCATGGGACCAAATGCCTGGAAGTCCTTGGGCCGAGCATTGTCCCCGTGATGCGGATTGGTGCCACAGCGAACACAACTGGTGCCAGTTGCCGTGGTGCTATGTTTCTGAAGCCTGTCAAACGAAAATGAGCAGCACTATTTTCGACAATGCATCTGAAGTAGCATTCTATAGCTATAACACTTGTTTGGACACCCCCAGCTGCCGATCAATGCCATTTGACGCTTCGTGTCCGTTCGACAGCAGAGACATCCACTGGCCAACTGCCGTAGAGTGTCCGGACAGCTGGTCCGATGTGTGCGAATGCCAATTCCAGGGCTCGGTGCTGCCAGAGTCTTTATTCACTCAGTTTCCCACGGAAGAGCCACGCAGATTTGCCGACATGCCCAACATCGGTGTCTACGGCACAACCTGTGCGGCCTGGGATCAAGTGCCTGGAACGCCCCTGTCAAGCAGATGTGCGCCGGGTTCTGATTGGTCGAGTTCCGACTTCAATTGGTGCCAGCTACCATGGTGTTATGTCACCCCTGAGTGTCCGTCGCGGATTCCAACTCGAGTTTTCAATGGTTCCATGGCGTACTACAGCTACGATACATGTGGAAATGCACCAGATTGCTACAGTCATTTCCACTGGGATCATCGGTGCCCTTACGATCCGCACGGCGGCGAGACTTTTAGGATTCACAAGAATGCGGAGTGCGATTGCTTGTTTCATGGGTCACTGCTACCGCAAACAGCCTACAGTCTGCATCCCTTAACCGAAGCTGGCAAATTTGCAAACCTCTCTCACATCAGCATCTACGGGACGACCTGTGCGGCATGGGACCAAATGCCTGCAAGTCCTTGGGCCGAGCATTGTCCCCGTGATGCGGATTGGTGCCACAGCGAACACAACTGGTGCCAGTTGCCGTGGTGCTATGTTTCTGAAGCTTGCCCCACGCGATTGAGCAGCACAGTCTTCGACACTCCGGCTACAGCATTCTACAGCTATGACACCTGTTTAGGAACACCAAATTGTCGCACAAACCCGTTTGACGAGTCGTGTCCCTTCGATAGTAGGGACACGAATTGGCCGACTGCGGTAGAGTGCCCAGACAGCTGGTCCGATGTGTGCGAATGCCAATTCCAGGGCTCGGTGCTGCCAGAGGCTTTGTTCATGCAATATCCCATGGAGGAGCCTGGAAAGTATGCCCACATGCCCAACATCGGTGTCTACGGCACAACCTGTGCTGCCTGGGATCAAGTGCCTGGAACCCCCATGTCAAGCAGATGTGCGCCGGGTTCTGATTGGTCGAGTTCCGACTTCAATTGGTGCCAGCTACCATGGTGCTTTGTGAACAGTTCCTGCGCTTCGAGGATTCCAACTCGGGTGTTTAATGGATCGATGCTCTACTACAGCTATGATTCCTGCGGCAATGCACCAGATTGCTATCATGATTTCGGGCAAGATCTGCGGTGTCCGTACGACCCGTACGGCAGCAAGAGTTATAAGGTTCATAAGGCTGATGGCTGCGAGTGTTTATTCCACGGAGCGGCTCTTCCGGGTGAGGTATACGGGTCATACCCCAGCAACGAGCCGGGGAAATATGCAAACCTCACCTACATCAGCATCTACGGGACGACCTGTGCGGCATGGGACCAAATGCCTGGAAGTCCTTGGGCCGAGCACTGTCCACGTGATGCAGATTGGTGCCACAGCGAGCACAACTGGTGCCAGTTGCCGTGGTGCTATGTTTCTGAGGCTTGCCCCAGTCGGTTGAGCAGCATGGTTTTCGACACTGTTTCTACTGCCTTTTATAGCTATGACACCTGCCTGTCAGCCCCTGATTGCCGCATGATCCCGTTCGATCGTTCCTGTCCCTTCGATGGCAGAGACACGGGCTGGTCCACGGCCAAGCAGTGCCCGGACAGCTGGTCCGATGTGTGCGAATGCCAATTCCAGGGCTCGGTGCTGCTAGAGGCTTTGTTCATGCAATATCCCATGGAGGAGCCTGGAAAGTATGCCCACATGCCCAACATCGGTGTCTACGGTACATCCTGTGCTGCCTGGGATCAAGTGCCTGGAACCCCCATGTCAAGCAGATGTGCGCCGGGTTCTGATTGGTCGAGTTCCGACTTCAATTGGTGCCAGCTACCATGGTGCTTCGTGAACAGTTCCTGCGCTTCGAGGATTCCAACTCGGGTGTTTAATGGATCGATGCTCTACTACAGCTATGATTCCTGCGGCAATGCACCAGATTGCTATCATGATTTCGGGCAAGATCTGCGGTGTCCATACGACCCATACGGCAGCAAGAGTTATAAGGTTCATAAGGCTGATGGCTGCGAGTGTTTATTCCACGGAGCGGCTCTTCCGGGTGAGGTATACGGGTCATACCCCAGCAACGAGCCGGGGAAATATGCAAACCTCACCTACATCAGCATCTACGGGACGACCTGTGCGGCATGGGACCAAATGCCTGGAAGTCCTTGGGCCGAGCACTGTCCACGTGATGCAGATTGGTGCCACAGCGAGCACAACTGGTGCCAGTTGCCGTGGTGCTTTGTTGGCGAACGATGTCGAAGTAGAGTGGCTAGCACAGTGTTCAATGGTTCAGCAGTGGCTTACCACAGTTACGACACGTGTCTTTCCACTCCAGATTGTTCTGAGCTGCCCTTTGACAATGCCTGTCCCTTCGATTGGACGTATTCCAGCTGGAGCACTCCTGTACAGTGCCCTTACAATTGGTCCGATGTTTGCGACTGCATATATCAGGGTGCCAAGCTGCCTGCAGATCTCATCAGGCACTTTCCTTTAGAATTTCCGGGTAAGTTCAAAGACTATCGAAACATCGAGACTTGGCTGAGTTGCTTATAACTTTTGCTTCGCTTTGCTTAGCCATGATCGCGTGAGTATGTTTGAATAGCTGGCGGCCATTGCTGGGCTGCTGAGGCAGTGTATGGTACGACCTGCGCCGCGTGGGATCAGGTCCCTCTCATCAAAAGGAGCCGTTTTCTCAAAAAGCCACCCTTAACCAATAGAATCTATTTACTGCATCTGCTCTCGCATCGTTTTTCTCAACCCAGGTGCCACACACGCCGCTTTCTGGACACTGCAAGCCGGGATCGAACTGGACCGACTTGGATTACAACTGGTGCCAGCTTCCTTGGTGCTATGTGGCTCGCTACTGATTATCTCGGGGCTCAACCTGCAATGCCGCCGGACAGTGTGTTCCTGGAACTGAGGTGGATTCAGCGTGTCCAACAAGACTGAGGACACAGCTCTTCCACGGGTCAAATGTATCATACTTCAGATGCCCAGCTGCAGATGAAACGGCAACATGAGCGACATATCACAACCGGCATGTCAGTGGACCTGCGCAGTTGTCATGCATTCTGCATGGTCGTCATGCCAGCCCTGCATCTCGGTTGTCCTGAGGCTACGATGCATGCGGGAATGCACCGGACTGCTATCACGACTTCGCAAACCCTCGTTGCCCATATGATCCGTATGGTACGAAGCCCCGGCCCTCAGGAATACCAGAAGTACTTGACAAGTGCGAGAACCATGTGCACACAATGCTCACCACAACCAGCATGCTCTGAGGTCATACAAAATTCACAAAGGCAATGGGTGCGAATGCGTCTATCAAGGGGATTTGCTCCTCGTACAGTAGTGAATTTCGAGAGCCATGCCTACATGCATCCATGCAATCCCTGAGCAAAGATTGAAGACGTTCAAGGCTTCCGACCTACATCTTCGAGAACTTTCCTCTTCACCAGCGTGGCTCCTTGACGTAGTAAGTCTGGCGTGAACCTGGAACAGCAGTAGACTAGCGTCATCATGACCTCGTGCTCTGATCGGTTCTGGCTAGCACTTCACCATCTTCATACTTGTACCTTCGCGGGGTAGGTGATGCCAGCTTCCTTTGTTGCTTGCCACAGGACTCTATGCCAATCTGACTCTCAGAAGCACTTGGCCCCAAGTCGAAGGCTGTGCTATTTTCCGGAAATGTCCACAAAAAAGATGCCAATCTGAGGACAGCCATTGGGATTTACGGTACAACCTGTGCAGCGTGGGACCAGGTGCCGGAAACTCCCTTGGCAGACCACTGTCCTCGCGATGCCGCAACTCGGCACTTCTTCGGAGGCTAGGGGCTTAACAAATTACTACAAAGCATTAGAGACGTCAAGACAGCGGCATGTGAGATCATGTGTCATATCCGCTTGGCAAGAAACGGAGACACATGCACGCAGGCTCGCTGTTTCCTAACCCATGCACGCGCGCCACCCCGCAACCGCTGACAAGTTTAAGCGCAGACATGTACAGCTGCATGGCTCATACCAGGCAGCGGATCCATCTCGAGAGAAGTCGCAGCTCCATACAGCTCGGTGTAGCACGCCTTTCAACCCTTAAACAAGCTTTCGACCTCCAGATCCCGTCTTGGAGCCCGGAGCCGCCCAAAGGAGCCCTACTATGCTGACTGTAACATTCAACTAGGTTCTGAGTCTCGCACCCTCTACACCCGCAACTCCTACAACAATCTCAGCACGAAGCCCTCATGGGTGTGCGGACCGTTCGATGTGCAATCTCCTGGATCTCCTGTGGCCTAGACGTCTTACACACGCGAATCTCCACAAATCAGTTTCAGCACAGCTACACATACATATGCCCATGTTCAGCCTTCTCAGTACTCACCTGCCTTTACATCCTGAATGTCAAAGACAGCGAATCTGCAAAAGTAAGTGGAAATGAAACCCGTGGCGATGTTCGCACAATCCTCACCAGAACCTCTCCATGCACCAGGATGCATTTCCGAACACATGCTACAGGCTTGCTGTTACAACAGGTACCGTGTGACCATTGGTCTCCATAGATGTGTAGCAGAGCTGAAGAATCTGCCTGGTCACTGTCATGCCCCTAGAGAAGCCCGGTCGGTCCCTTCTGAGCTGTTAAAGGAGTATGTTGAATGCTTGAGACGGTGTGAATCGGAAAGACCACAACTACAGATGCTTTTGAGATAACGGTTTGTGTTTCTATGTTGTACACGTACGAGTGCGGCACCTAAATCGGATGTTCAAATTCCGTGGTGGCAGCTTCTCTTCGCACATCAAGAGGTGGTGTGTCATGTTGGACAACAATGAATCTTCCGATGGAAAGGCCAGACCGTCCTTGAAGCACGTCAACATCATGTATTGCTTACATCCTACATGAATGTCAACGCACATATCATAGCTCCTTCCTCATTTCTCAACCACCGGTACCTTTTTACTTGAAAGTACCGTGATATCTTATACTTGTTTATGTGCTTGCCGGCAGACTCAGTGTGTATTGATGTAGTGCTTGTATAGCTCATCAAAGATGTCATGAGATCTAGCTTCTACTCGAATACAGAATCAATATTGGCTTATAGTGGTGCACGCGTAGTTGCGTTCTTATGCACAGTTGACATGCAAGCAATCATAAGCAATCCATTCTCACATGCTTACAGCTTGGCAAAATTACCGCAAAGAATACAGTGTTCGTCACGTGTGCAGGAGGGAAAATAGTGTTCGTCACAGGTAATTGTTCAGGCAATAAATACGGAATGCGCATGTAGCTGAAACTCAAGAACAAGGTCAACCGTATGTAACTATGCTGCACTCACGGTAAGAAACTGTTCATTGCAAGCATGGTAGCATTTCGGTGACAGCTAGTCCGATACTTAGGTCTTATTTGAGACTTTTTCACGAATTGCTACAAGCATACACGTTTGTAATCTTTCTTGCAAAAAACACATTTGTAATCTTGAGGTTACGTATTTCACATGCTACGTGTCAGACCTTAAGCAGTAGACGACGATTCGCATGTTCGTTTTACAGTTTTCTCCCGCGTGGTGAGATAAACATTCCTGAACATCCCCAGATATGAAAAACTTTCGGCTACTACGTCTTCAAACCTGCATATCTCGAAAGACTTTCAACCTAACCCATATTGTTGTGACAGTTAATCATCAAACACGTATCCATCTTTGAATGTGAGCAATCGTTGAGTGTTGTAAATATTGCGGCTCAACAGTTACAACACGTACTAACTGGTGTGAGCACGTAGTGGTACAGTATCCGACCATTTGCAAGAGTCGATGCAAATACATTGACTGGAGGGCCGGCATTAATGAAGATTTTGCCCACGTACTAACACCATACAGTATATAGAATATTTGTTGGTTGCGTACTCAATTTGCACATATACATTTAGCAGCTCAGCTCGAGTTTGAGGCAGGGTTTCGCTAACCCGAGTTTTGGGTTTATGTGCACCAGATATTAAGTTTGTTAGGCTTTGGCTAAACCCGATGTTAATGTTTAAGTTCTACCAGACTCTAAACCTTGCCTTAATTTCCGGTTTAGCTAAACCGAATTTCGGGTTTAGTTAGGCTTGAATTGGAAGTTGCTAAACTGAACGTACAATTCAGTTACTCTGCAAGTATTTGCCTTAGTTGGTTTAAAGCTGAATATGGCCTTGTCTAAACCTTAAATTCGGGCTTAATCATATTTCTCGACTTGGAAGAGATCCAGTAATCGATATCATCTGCTTGTTTAATCCAAAAGAAGAGTAGGTAAACGCATCCAGAACACTCTTGAGATCTTTCGAGTATCAGGTTTTGGCTAAAGGGGCATTCTGCAACTTTGCTAAAAACCTTGCATCGAAAACTATCTTCCCAGCTCCTATACTTTGTCCTCAGCAGAATTTTGGAGAAAGGTTGGTGTAACCTCCAACACCCTGAAAGCAGGCAACTTCGTTGCGAAACCACTGGGTGTGGGCATGTACTGGCAATAGAACCCCAAGCCATGCGGGCTCGTCCTTGTAGGTAGGAGGGCAATAAAAACAAGACAACCAAAAACAAACAGATAAACAACAAACAACCAGAAACCAACAGTTCTTTCAGGAGACTAGTCTCCCAGAGCGGTTTTTTGTTACTTAGATTGTTTATTTGGGAGTTGGTTGAACATTTGTAGGCTCGTATCAACCAGCCAATTTGCGATCCTGTGCTGCGAACAACCCTCGGCTTTAAACGCACGCGAGGTTTCAAAGAACGACTATGTTTCTCAAAGCGTGCGTGCACACAACCTGAAACAGGAATCTCGCAAGCATCTGTGACATCTGACAGAAACTTGGGCGCCGATCGCGTTTCCGTCTCTGTAACTTTATGGACCACAGACTTCGAAAACTCTCGCAGGAAGATCTTTGAAGACTAGTTTTGCCAGCACGTTTAACTGAATGTCCTGTCTCAACCACCTCGAAAGTTCACTTTGTCTGTCCGTTTGTCTGTACATGTGTCTTGAACAAGTATGTATTTTCCAGGTAGACATGTAGATATGTAGATATATACACACAAAAGTGCATGTGTCTCTCTTGTGAGTGTGTGCGTAGTTGCATGCCACAGTATACATGTCTGCCGCACATCTGAGGACTGGTGCCACTCAGATTTCAACTGGTGCCAGCTGCCTTGGTGTTGCTCGGCTTTCTCGTTTTTCGATGCTTACATAATCAGCCACGTGCATGCTACTGTAGTTTACACCGGCCAGGCTATGTTTCCTCGGAGTGCTCCAGCAAGCTACGAACACGACTCCCGGCGGCATATCGAGATGCGCAGTACGTGTGAGTGCTTTGTTTGACGCACAGAACTTGTGAGTAATTTTGGGTTGGCCTGGCGGATGCACAGCATCAGCATGGCTGGGGCCGCGGTTCGAAGACTTTCTCATCTTGTTTTTTGCTAGGAAAGCCACCCTAATGACAAAGACATCCTTGAAAGAGCTCGGACTAAGAGCATCTTTCCACAACCTCGGCTCACAACTTCGCAAAGTGAGGTCATCCGTCTCTGTTCAACCGAGCATGTAGTACAACCAGCACAATCCTCTTCCTTGCGAAGTCGCGAACTGACATGCAGCACCCTTCCAGCAAGTCTAGTCGTGTCAGCACCATTGTGTTGGCCCCTCCGCTGCCCCGCCCCCGGAATTCCGGGTTGACGTGAAGGAGGATTCAAGCAGCTCATGCTAACAGACAATTATTTGCGTGTGGAAAGCAGTTGAAGTTCTGCTCTACCAGGCGAAATGCCGAGCAGGTTTTATTTTCGATTGGGATGCTGTGTGACAGTGTTCAGATGACCACCTCAGGTTTGTTCGACGGATTCATTGATATGTTTTACAGTTATGACACCTGTCTATCTACACCAGATTGCATCTGGGCTGCAGCATCGGAGTCAACATGATGTTCTTTTTCCTGATTCCATACCACCGAAGCTTTGCCTCACTGAGGCTACACTGATCCTTTTGATGATCGGTGTCCTTTCGACAGCAAGGACACAGCTTGGTCGACGGCCAGTGAGTGTGAGGACACGAACAACGACGTTCGCTTTGACGGGCATCTGGACTGCACAACGCATGCTCGCGGACTAAGACAGATTGCGCACAATTGTGTCGCCAATAGCGCTTATTGTGCTAGCATTGCGCGGCTTGCTCGTTTCTCTTGTGTTCGCGGACTGCCCTCTCGGCCCTCTCTCTAAACAGAACTCCTCTCACTGACATCGGTCTGACGCAGGTGGACTGATGTGCTGCTGAACTGAATTAGTGTACACTTACACCCTGCACGCCGATAGCCTTGACATAGCATGAGATTGAAACGTTTCATTTAATTCAATCCGCTTCCAGCCCCAGCCGAGGTGTCGGTGCAAGTATCAAGGAACTGTGCTTCCCGAGGAGCTCTACACGAGTTATCCGACTCAGGCCCACTCAGGGCAACCCGTTGGATTCTTTGGAGCATTCATCTCTGCAACTGGTGCATGCATGCAAGTAGCACCAACACAATTTCCTCACTCATGTGGTGCATGTGCAATTCTGTGAAGTATATGTCAGATGCGAGCACCTGGGCAAGGCCTCCTGAAAAGAACAGGGGCTAGTTGGTGGACCTCGCTCCGCTAGGTTTGGGGTGGTTACGGGTAGGGCCGGGTTAGAGGAAGAGTGTGCCGGGCGGCAGGTGCAGGGCCGTATAGGAGCAAATTATCAACTTAGAGCAAAAGATGTGTTCACATAAGTTTACATGGGCTGTCTCTGCAGGCACCGGGTCAGTTCATGCATCTCTCCAACATCGGTGCCTATGGGACATCGTGCGCTGTGTGGGACTACATGCCAGATATGCCCATGTCCAGCCATTGTCAGCCCGGGTCGAACTTGTCGAGCCCTGACCACAACTGGTGTCACCTCCCCTGGTGTTATGTCAGCGACGAGTGCGTCTACAAGATTCCCAGCCGCGTATTTAACGGATCAACCGCTCATTTCAGTTATGAGATCTGCGGAGATGCTCCGGATTGCTACAGCAACTACTTAGTTGATGCCAGGTGTCCATACGATCCGCATGGCACGAGCTCCTACACTCTGCACAAGGGACATGGATGCGAATGCCTGTACTATGGTGGAGAGCTGCCACCCGATGTGTATCACAACTATCCACTGGAGCAGCCAGGAAGATTTGCCAACCTCACCTTCGTCAAGGTCTATGGTACAGGTTGCGCAGCCTGGGATCAAGTGCCAGAGACTCCCTTGTCGGAGTACTGTCCTGTGGGTAGCGACTGGTGCAATTCCGCAAGCAACTGGTGTCAACTTCCCTGGTGCTACGTAGGTAGCAACTGTTCGAGCAGGGTTGCGAGTACAGTCTTTGCAGGTTCGGAAGCAGCATTCCACAGCTACGACACGTGCCTGTCGACGCCCGACTGCTACAGCTATCCCTACGACTTGGCTTGCCCGTTTGACCGCATGGATAATGACTGGTCGACGCCAGCGGACTGTCCGGACAGATGGTCTGACGTGTGTGAGTGTGTATTTCAAGGTGACACCTTGCCACCAGAGCTGTACACGAACTTTCCCGTCGAGGAGCCGGGCATGTACGCAACTTTGCCAAACGTTGCCATTTATGGAACGTCTTGTGCTGCATGGGATCAGGTTCCAGGCACTCCTTTGGCGAAGCAGTGCATGGTTGGCTCCAACTGGACAGATTCTGAGTTCAACTGGTGCCAGATCCCCTGGTGCTACGTCGACTCGCGTTGTGCCTCGAGAAGACAGAGCCTGGTCTTCAATGGTTCCAGCACCATCTTTTACAGCTATGATTCCTGTGGCAACGCGCCGGATTGTTACAACCAGTTCGACACTGACCCCAGATGTCCGTACGATCCTTACGGCAGCCAGCACTTCGTTTTGCACAAGGGAAGGGGCTGTGACTGCCTGTACCACGGCAGGGAGTTACCTCCCAGTTTGTGGCAGGACTTCCCCATGCTGGACCCCGGAAAATTCGCCAGCCTGCCGCATGTGAATGTTTATGGGACTTCTTGTGCGGCCTGGGATCAAATCCCTGGAACACCATGGGCGCAGTATTGCCCTGCAGATGCAGACTGGTGCCATTCGCAGAACAATTGGTGCCAGCTGCCGTGGTGTTACGTGGGAGAGGAGTGCCCGACTCGCATGGGCGGCAAAGTTTTCGAAGGAGCTATGACGTACTTCAGCTATGATACATGTCTGTCAACGCCACAGTGCTATCAAGATCCATTTGACGAGGCCTGTCCTTTTGACATGACAGATTCAGGATGGTCCACTCCGGCAGCATGCGCCATGGGATGGTCAGATGTTTGTTCCTGTGCCTATCAAGGTTCATCCTTGCCAGAAGGGCTCTACCTGAACTATCCCCGGCAGGACCCAGGAAGGTATGCACACTTAGACAATGTGGCGATTTACGGCACCAGCTGCGCAAGCTGGGACATGATGCCTGACACTCCATTTGCGAGCTTTTGCCCCGCCGGATCGGATTGGTCCAGTGCCGCTTACCATTGGTGTACCCTCCCTTGGTGTTATGTCGACAGCCGATGCCCGTCTCGTCACTTCTCTTCTGTCTTCAATGGCTCTCGCACTGCTTGGTACAGCTACGATACTTGTGGAAACACTCCGAACTGTTATGATTACTATGATACTGACGAGCGCTGTCCATACGACCCATCGGGCACGAACTCCTACACTCTGCACAAGGGACATGGATGCGAATGCCTGTACTATGGTGGAGAGCTGCCACCCGATGTGTATCACAACTATCCACTGAAGCAGCCAGGAAAATTTGCCAACCTCACCTTCGTCAAGGTCTATGGTACAGGTTGCGCAGCCTGGGATCAAGTGCCAGAGACTCCCTTGTCGGAGTACTGTCCTGTGGGTAGCGACTGGTGCAATTCCGCAAACAACTGGTGTCAACTTCCCTGGTGCTACGTAGGTAGCAACTGTTCGAGCAGAGTCGCGAGTACAGTCTTTGCAGGTTCGGAAGCCGCATTCCACAGCTACGACACGTGCCTGTCGACGCCCGACTGCTACAGCTATCCCTACGACTTGGCTTGCCCGTTTGACTCTAGAGATTCTGGTTGGTCAACGGCTTCTGATTGTCCTGACGGGTGGTCGAACATCTGCGAGTGCAAGTATCAAGGCACCGTTCTGCCAGCTGCCATTTACATGAACTACCCTGCCCAAGACCGGGGAAGATATGCAGATTTGCCCTACATAGATGTTTATGGCACATCTTGTGCTGCATGGGACCAAGTTCCCGGGACCCCCTTCGCGCCACTCTGCCCGCCGGGGTCCGACTGGTCAACTGCTGAGTACAACTGGTGCCAGCTGCCCTGGTGCTATGTGGATCCGGAGTGCGTGACCATGCGCCCTACCAGCGTTTTCAATGGTACGTCTATGTACTACAGTTACGATGCATGCGGCAATGCTCCTGACTGCTACAACTACTTCGACGTCGAAGAGCGCTGCCCTTGGGACCCATATAACACAAAGGCGTACCGCCTGCACAAAGCACATGGGTGCGAGTGCATCCATGCTGGAAAACAACTTCCACTCGATTTGATTCAGCAGTATCCCTTGAGCGAGCCAGGTAAGTATGCCAATCTGACTTTTATCCGAATATATGGAACGAGTTGCGGCTCGTGGGATACCTTAGCAGGTGGCCCATGGCACGATTACTGCATTCCAGGCTCCGACTGGTGTTCTACTGACAGCAATTGGTGCCAGACCCCCTGGTGTTTTGTGGGCGGTTCGTGTGCCACCAGAATACGAAGTTCAGTGTTTGATGGGCCGGCCACTAGGTTTTACAGTTATGACACTTGTCTTTCCAGCCCAGATTGCAGCAGTAGTCCCTATGATGCATCTTGTCCCTTTGACTCGAGCGACAACGGCTGGTCAACGGCCGGACAATGCCCAGACAGCTGGTCAGATGTGTGCGATTGCATCTATCAAGGCAGCACTCTCCCAGCTGCTATCTACGACAACTTCCCATCCTTCCAGCCTGGCAGGTGGTCAACATTGGGAAACATCGCTATCTATGGCACGACGTGTTCTGCCTGGGATGTGGTGCCGCAGACACCGCTCTCCATCTTCTGTCCGACTGGAGCCGACTGGTCCTCCGAAAGTGACTGGGCTCATGTTGAATCATTGCGTAGTTCAATTGAACTCTGCGCTTTCACATGACCCAAGCAGTGTCTTCGGCAAGGTGGGCCGAAGACCTTGCACAAAAGTTCAACCTGCAGAGTTGTACAAGTGTTCCATAACAAACCCAAATCGGTACAGCTTGCAGGAGGCGACAGATATCTGGAATTTCGCGCCCTTAGCTAGCCTTCTTATAGATCTCTTATCGAATCATCAAAACACAAGTAGATCACCTCCCTCCGGAAGCATTCCGTGGAAATTAGGACTAATTAGGACCTGTATGCAACAATTGGTTCAATCCAAGCTTCAAGCGAAGACGGGATTGTTCGGTCCACAGTCACTTATTTCGATTTGCATATGTCGTGAAAGTCTGAGCCACTTTCGAACTCTTGTTGTATTGACTCGTGAACGGTCGCGATCCAGGTTTCAACTGGTGCCAGCTGCCCTGGTGCTATGTCAGCAGCAGCTGTGTTACAAAGGTTGCCACTCGCAACTTTGAAGGAGCGGACTTGTGGTACAGCTACCACACCTGCGGCAAAGCACCTGATTGTTACAACCACTTCGATACCAGCCTCAAATGTCCATATGATCCTTATGGCACCCAAAGCTACCAGGTGCACAAGGGGGGCGACTGCGCCTGCAAGTATCATGGCTTCGAGCTTCCGTTCAATGCATACACCAGGTTCCCTGTCGCAGAGCCCGGGAAGTATCAGAACATGCCACACATTGCAGTGTATGGCAGCACATGTGCTGCATGGGATCTGGTGCCTGAAACGCCCAGCTACTGCCCTGGCGGTGTGGATTGGTGTGCCAGCGAGCATAACTGGTGTCAGCTTCCCTGGTGTTTCGTTGGAGCCAACTGCAGCACTAGGATTGCCAGCTCCGTTTTTCAGGGGTCGGAGGTGGCTTTCTACAGCTATGATACCTGCTTATCCGCGCCGAATTGTCGGGACGAAATCTTTGATACAAGATGCCCATATGATTCGACCGATTCAGGTTGGTCAACTCCTCAGGTGTGCTCCGATGGGTGGAATGATGTATGCCAGTGCCTCTATCAAGGCGATGTTTTGCCGGAAGAGGTTTATGCGAACTACCCGACTCAGCAGCCAGGAAGATACATGAACCTATCGAGCATTTCGTTCTATGGTACAAGTTGCGCTGCTTGGGACAGCGTGCCTGGAACTCCTTGGTCGCACCTTTGCCCCGTTGGATCGGACTGGTCTGACGAGGAATTCAACTGGTGTCAAGTGCCGTGGTGCTATGTCAGTGATACCTGCAAGTCGCGCATTCGCAGTTCCGTCTTTGATGGCTCGGCCACTCTTTTCTACAGCTATGATGTTTGTGGTGATTCGCCAGATTGCTACAACAATTTTGCAGATACCCGATGCCCCTTTGATCCCTCGCGGGCGCTGTCATACGCTCTGCACAAGTCCCAAGGGTGCGAGTGCTTGTACCATGGAATGGAGCTGCCTGCAGAGACTTACTTCAACTACCCTGTCGAGGATCCTGGCAAGTATGCAACGCTTCTCGCAATCAAGATCTATGGAACCAGCTGTGCGGCTTGGGATCAGATGCCTGCAACGCCGTGGGCTAGCTATTGTCCGGCTGGTGCAGACTGGTGTCATTCAGATAATAACTGGTGCCAGCTTGCATGGTGCTACGTGGGCAGCTCTTGCAACTCTAAACTGCCGACGAATGTCTTCAACGGCTCGGGAACGATGTATTATAGCTACGACACATGCTTCTCCACTCCGAACTGCCGCCTTCCGCTTGAACCTGGATGTCCGTATGACTCGACACTGGCTCATTGGGCGACTGGCTCTGATTGCCCCTATGGGTGGTCAGACGTTTGCGACTGCATATACCAAGGCTCGACCCTACCTGAAGACTTATATCGCGAGTTCCCTGTCTCGTGGCCAGGCATGCACCAGAACCAGTCCAGCATCGCTTTGTATGGGACAAGCTGCGCTGCCTGGGATGTCGTGCCAGGAACCCCACTCGCTAGCACATGCATGTCTTCATCGGCAAATTACTCGGGGGACATGAACTGGTGCCATGTTCCATGGTGTTACGTCAGCAGCTCTTGCCCCACGCAGTTACCGAGCCGCGTGTTTGACGGCTCGGGTGCTTTCTATAGCTATGACAGCTGTGGCAATGCGCCGGACTGCTACAACGACTTTCATGCCAGCAGATGTCCCTTCGACCCATATGGGACACGGAAGTACACGCTACATAAAGGTGATGGATGTGAATGCATTTTTCATGGCATGCGCTTGCCGGTGGAGGTGTACACCATGTACCCGAGCGAAGATCCAGGACGGTACAACAACTTAAGTCATGTTTCAGTGTATGGCACAGGTTGTGCAGCCTGGGATCAGATGCCAGGGACCCCTTGGGCTTCGGCTTGCCCCCGGGGTGTAGATTGGTGTGCATCGACCCACAATTGGTGCCAGCTCGCCTGGTGCTTTGTGTCCAGTAGCTGCGGGACCAGGCTTCCCAGCACTCTTTTCACTGGCTCTGCGGCGGCATTTTACAGCTACGACACGTGCCTTTCAATGCCAGACTGTCTCAACTTTCCCTATGACTCCCGCTGTCCGTTCGACAAGCAGGATCTGGCGTTCTCCGCCGCTGCCGACTGCCCTTCCGGTTGGACTGACACCCCTGGCGTCCCAATCACATCTTTCGATGCCGTCCTCCTCCTGGATGACGTATGGGACTTTCGAGCATCAGCTTACCAGGAAAGTGTGGAAAGCAGCACAGGTCTCGCCAGCAGTCAGGTTCTCATGGACTCTGTGCAGTTCCGTGTCGTGATGCCATACGCCTTGCTTTGGGCTTCGGTGCAAATCGGGGATGCGGAGATGGTCGCCGCGGCAGCTGCGGCCACCAAGCTTGATCCTTCCAAGATCTCCGTGCGATCCAACAGACGTTTGTCAGCGTGGGACCAGGAACGAAGCGAACGAAGGCTCCAGAGCCTGTTCGATATGTATGCCTTGACCGACAATGCCGCCGATTTGAGCAGTATGCAGTCCAAACTTTCGAATGTAAGCTTGCTTCAAGCAAGCCTGGCAGCAAGTGGAGTCGAGGTTCGCCCCCCAGCCCGCAGTGTCCAATGTTGTGCTAAAGACGCGGTGCAAAAAGACACGAGAATTAGCCAGCCAAGCTCTAGGTCTAGGTCTTCCTGCTACATGCTGAGGCCCGGATGGAGCCCGGAGGAAGTGCACACAAGGAGATCCTCGTTTCCACCCGGCTTTTGGCCGCCGATCCCATGGATGCCGCAGTGACATCTCCTGATCCTGCAGTCCTGTCCAGCCAGATGTCGCAACGGTTGGGCATCGTGATCACCGCGCAGATAGAGAACGAGGCCGGCTCCGGTAGTTTTTCTTGGCTCACCCTTTTGGGAGAAGTATGCTGCGCATGACTGAGGCCATCAAGTTGCCACCAACTTCAACGACAGTCACGCTGTCATCTACAACCACCCTTTCATCCACGTCAACATCCAGTACCAGGACACACACCTCCTCGACAACTCTCTCCACAACCTCTATCACTGTCACAACCACTACGCTAGTCATCGATGTTCGAATCATGATCAACGAGGTGGAATACTCGAGCACAGAAATCGAAGCCTGGGCTGTTGGACTGAAGTGGCTTGGATGCATAGAAACTGTGCTCGGATAGACTTAGATTTGCTGAACCTGTTGCGATGCACTCAGCCAAGGTTTTGCCTCCCGGACACCAGCACAATGACCTCCACCACGATGACAACCACGGGGCAGTATGTGGGAGCAGCTGAGATGCTTGTCGTCATACACGCACCCGCTGCCTTGCGGGAACACACAGCACAGTTCGGGCACAGAATCCGTAACGTCGAAAGAAAACCAACCAATTTCTCTGCATCGGGGCACGACGGTAGGAGAAAGTGCCGCGGTTGACACAAAGCATTACAAAGTCGGGCCCTCCGATCCATTTGCCGGTCGGGGTTTAGCATCCTTTGTCATTCCATATCGGCTCTTAGGCTGGGAAGGGACAGTGGAGAGCAAGACGGAGCATAGCTGCAATTGACATTGCCACACGCCAATTTGCCGCCTTCGCGAATTCTCTTTATAGGTAGCCCAGCCGAACCGGGCTCCGCTGTCGGGGTCCGTTGAATTGAAGTGCTCACTTGTAAGAGGTGTCCAGGCTCGAGCATGCGCTGATCCCTCTGGAATGGGGGACATCTGAAATCGTGCATGACAAGTATTGCTTGGTGTTGTCGTGTCCGAAAGCGAAGGTCAGCATTGCAATCATTAGAAGGCCGTCGGCGAAGGCAGCGCAGCATCCACCAATCCTTCTCTGCTCACTGTGTCGTTTTGCTGGGTTACCTTCATCTGTTTGCTTAGCCCAGCCTCTAGCTATCGACATCTCTGGTTTTGTCTATGCCTGTCTTCCTGTCTGTCTCTCGTCCCTCTGTGTACCCGCCTTGGATAAAATGTTTGTGATTAGTCGATGTAGATTTACATACTTAGTTTTGAGTGCGATGTCTTAAGAGCGGGGAGCTCACTCTAGCTCTATTCAGTATTTCACATTTCCCTACAAAGGCGATGACAATATGAGACCATGTGGAACAGCGGTTCCTGTATTCTGGCGCAGGGTCACGCTCGAGTCTCCTAAAGCGTTGCAAGGCGCGGCAGCCAGAAACACTGCCCGAGATGTTGGGTTGTGCAGACACGCAACCTTTTGGGAACCCACTGCCCCGCCAGCCACCAGTTTTCTGCGTTTGATCTGGAAACTTTAATTTTGCAACCTGGAAGTTTGACTTAGGGTAGAAGCCTCATCACTGCATACCGAAAGAATCGTGACGTCGGTCTTTCTGACTAAGAAATATTCAGGATGTCCGGGAAGGGATTGTCGTGCACGGCATGGCGTGGCTCTGCGCGTGGCTACTCTAAGCAGGCTGCGTGCTGCAAACTTGATAGGTGTGGCCGACACCCCTTCCTCAGATGTGCCGACTGGCATGAAAGGGCAGCATTGCTAGGACTTTTCTTCTGGAACAGCGGCACCACTAAGGATCGGGGGTGCCGTCGTCTTCCAGCTTTGTCGGGATATCTTCCAGCAGGACTTCGTGCTGGTGGTTGCTTGCATGCAGGAAAACACGAAGCAGCCCACGCACACGACTCCAGGACCCGCCCACCAGTGTGGACTGCTACTGGAGAGAAGATGCAGATTCGGAGTGGATCCTTTTTGGTGGCGCGGGCACATGTGCCACGACACCAAAGAAAGTCGAGGGTATCTTTCTAGAGCCTCACAGTGATCGACCTGGGAAGTGGCTAAGGTGAGGCTGCCACATGCCGCTGTGCAGTTCCCCGGTGTCGTGAATTCAGAATCCACAGATTAATTTTGCAATCGTGGATGGGCGGTTCGTTGCTGGTCGCTCGCCGTTTCCTTGTTGGAGAGTGTCTAAGGCCTGGAACGCCGGGAACCATGACTATCAGCTTCGATTAAACTTGGGCGGCATCGACCACTTCACAACTGAGCACCTCGCTACGGCCGCAGGGTTACTCGGCTGATTCTGGCTGCAGAAGTTTGAAAAGATGTAGTGCGGAAGTCAGGGTGTAGAACAGAACTTGGTCTCGCTCTGCTTTTGCTCGGCTGCCCATCATCTCGGAGAGTGGTAGAGGAGCAGTGCACTGCACAAGACTCCCCAAATGTCCGAGAGGTTCAGGTCAGGGGAGAAGGCACGTTCGCATCGTCGGGTCGCCGACCCGCTTGACAAACGGCTCGTCGCTGTTGCATTTTTGAATCGGCTTGGGCTATGTAGCCAGCAACGCAATCGACGAAGCAATCCAACATCTTGCCACGGATGCCAGGAAACCTTGCTTTCAAGCAGGAAAGCCGAAATCACGAATGCTCCCTCGTTGAGATCGTTCGTTTGAGACGAAGCCTTGCTAGGGCGACCTGCCAAATTTGGTGATATGTATCCGAATGTATCCACATAAGTGCACGTGTTTATTTATATGTATATATATACAAATAAGCATATGTGTCTGTGTATATCCCCGGTGGAGCCCGTTACATCGATGCGTCATCGTCGCAGACCGCAGTTCAGACGAGGAGTACCCCTCCGAGGGGGACGGGCAGTGATTCCTTTTCCGAGTCTTTGCTTCTTGAGCTCGCTCTCTCACAACATCGCCAATCTCGCAACAACATAGGAACACCCCGTCAAGAAAAAAACCACGAAGCGACGTTTGGACTTCTGCAGTCAAAAGCGAAAGACCCTTCGGCAAGAGCATTGCCATGTTTCAGACTCGCCGTTCATCCAAATACCAAACGGGTGGTAGGCCGTCAGTGAGAGCTGTGTTGTGAGCTGTGTTGGGATCTAGCCGAGGCCCAAGGATTGTCCCACAGCGGCTTGGTTGCAGTCTCCGGTACACGTCCAAGACTCCACAAAAGACCTTTCGCACATCGACGCAGGAAACTACGAGCACTACCACGACAACCACAACTACCACCACAGCTTTGGACAGCATGGGCGTGCAAGAGATGAATGGAGCAGTAACTCGGACTTCTGGGGTCAGGTTTAAGGAGCAAAGGAGGAGGAGGACGAAAGCACTGAATGTTAGTTTAAAGTGAAGTGGCGCAGTGATGCACCGCGAATGTTGCTCGGCCTGAACGCCTGGACGAGGGTCGAGTCATGTTGAGAACGCCGTGGGCAGTGGAAGCCACCAGCAGGTGTTCTTCCATGTCTGCAGCGACATTGAGGGCCCTGTAATCTGCAGCTGGCGGCGACGAGGCATTTTGATCTCTTCAGAACTGGAACTGCCAAGATCCGGCTGTTCGTCTAGCACCATGTGCACCTGCACCGAAGCTTTGTCAGGAGAGTTCTATTGGTTTCCGTTCGAAGGCTATGGCTCCTGTACCCCAGCTGAATGTTGAAGGAAACAGGACCATTCCATGGTCTGGTGTGCACTGAGGCTACGCTCGGAAGTGCACCTGCCCGGCCATGACAACGGACTGCTCCAAGCCATTCCTAGAATCATGTGAAGTCCCAGCCCCCACGCTGCCACTGGGGCCGACGCAGGTGTATGATTCTAAGGCAGAGCCTTGGGTACCAAGTTCGATCGCAGATGGAGTCGAGCTCGCACATGCCCTCCCATGACCTGCTTGGATAAGCATGCTTGTCATGGGGCTGCGTGTGGTCCTTCATCTATGAAGTCATTTCCGCCACGGATCTCAGATTCGCCTTGGCGCAGGACATGTTCTTTAGCATGCGGATTCCCAGCACAGTCGAGCCTCGCCTTCAAGGCAGTGATGACTGTTGCTGACACCATTTTGGCTTGTGCTTGAAGTAGGGTACTCTGCCTATGGCCATGAGTGGCATTAAGTGAGCACCAGAAAACAGTTGTCCTGTGCTTCGGTCTCGGGGTTCATCGGACTTCAAGCTGCCTGCGGCGGAGTTGCGTCGCAGATACAGCTCGAGTGGCTCTCCAGGGTTGGTTAGTGAGTGATGGTGGCTGTAGCGGCGATGAAGCGTACTGCATCATGCTGCGGTGTGTTATCTAAGGAGTCAACCACCACAGAAGCTTGGCTGGCTCACTGGCGATTTTGCGAAGTTGCGGAACGGGAGCAATGCGCGCGGCTGCACCAAAACGCTGAGGTGACAAGCATTACCGGCACTTCAACAACTGCAACAATGACCACCAGCATCACACAGCTACCGTTCTTCGGCTGGTGTTCAGAAGGATGCTGAGAAGGCCCTGTGCTTGTTCCTGGGTCTGGCACGGTTTGTTTCTCAGGAACACGACCATTGCCAAGACGGCTCATTGCATCACAGCTCGAGCTGCACCCGGGCTCTTCGGGCTGCTTCGGGCTGCATCTGGACATCGCCTGCGGCATGTCTCCCAGCATCTGCCGGCAGTTGAACAGCAACTGGCGATCCCATATCCAAGGTTGCTGCTGCTCTGGGCAGCCTCCACGTAGACGTGTGCTGTATTTGTTCGATGTTCTTTGACTATTTAAAGCCCTGGCTGGAACATAGGCCAGATTTTCATTAGCAACGGCACAGAGACCTCGCAATATGCACAAGGTCCCGAGGTTATTGCTGGTAACAGTTCTCAAATTGCGACTAGCAGATGGTGGTGGTGGTGCTGTAGGAAGTCCTGTGCCCTGGCTCCGTGAACGCTTTTTGCACGTCCCGTAGATGTGTTCTTGAAACAGGGTCTCCTAAACAAAGGCCAAAGAAAGATGAAAGAGCCGAACAGCAAACGCGGTAAACCAGTGTCAACATATCCGCGCCTCCTCGCTTCTGCACCTCTCGAGTCTTGGAATTCATGAGTCAACAAGTTGTAGCAACTTTCGGCATCGAATAATGCGATGTCCAGTTAATGCACGGCAGCAAAAGCACCTGCTGCTGCAGCCAAGCTGCAGCCTTCTGCTGTGGGCAAAAATGTCCCCATGCGTCGAAGGCCAGGATAATGAGTTTCACCTGGAATCCAGGGCAGTCACGTGCTTCCCGCTGCAAGAAAAAGGATGCCTTTCATTTCGGCCATGAGACTTCGGGATGCGAGCCCTGCATATTAGGCAAAGCTCCTCCAGCAAGGGTTTACTTCATCGGCGAATTCTCTGAGTGCTGCAGTGCAACGAAGGTGATGTCCGGCTGCCCGGGATCCTCGTTCCCAGGCATTCGTCGGGGTCTAGCCTTCTCGGGTCGCTCGGAATTTGTGGGGGGTTGCACCCGTCTTCGACCCTCGTCTTAACTTGCGCAGCCTTGCATATAGCTGCATCAGGAGAAGTTGGAGCCTTTTCTGCAAGCGTGTGTGTGTGTGTGTTTGTGTGTCTTGCGCAAAAGCCCCTGTCGTGTTCTACACATCGTGTAGTTTGGTGTCATCTTGCTGCAGAGCCCACCCCGCTCCCCCCACAAACCCCTTTGTGGGGCTGATCGTGGCAAGCCTGCAGTCTGCCAGAGGCAGTTGGGCTTGGTTGGCGCACAGGGCTGCGACGAGATGGAAGTTCAAGTCACCAGCTGGTGCGCCAAATCGCTGGACTGTCGCTGTGTGCATGTAGCAGCACTTCGTGCCGCAGAGAAGCAACTGACGATGATGTACAAAGACAACGTCCCCACTACTCTTTCTGTCTGGTGGAGGTCTAACTTGAATCCTCGCTTCTGGGCGCCTCGTGGATTTGGCTTGCGCCTCTGAGTTTTTTCTCTTGCCAAGCTGCGCAGAACGAGTAGACGCGTGACACATCACCCTCCACGAGCAAACTGCTGTAGTTGCCAGATGCAGGAGTTACAGACCTCGTCCTGCCGAACACGTCAATGAAGGTGGGCAGCAAGCTGCGAATGCTGCATGCCAGACGCAGAGATTTTGCCAAAAACCTGCTGGCAGGGTGTGTATCTGCGACGCTGTGGCGAGCCGATCTTTCAGCAAGGCACGGTCCCGACTGCAGTCAAAGCGAGAGAGGCTGCGGTACTCGGTACTCACGGTACTCGGTAATGTTCCAAGGCCCTGAAAAGTGCAGACTGTGGCGAAGTGCCAGGTCTTGCCAACCCGCTGGAGATAGACATTGACATCTCGCAGCCCGAGGGCGTTTATCCTGGCCTTTTTCTCGGGCAGAGCTTCAATGTCCATCCGCGGCATTTTCCACAGCCAGTGCCTTCGAAGGTTATCTGGTGGAATTCATGTGCGCCGTTTTTGACGAGGGTCCTGACCTCAACCACTGCCGGCATTGCCATCTTCACCCATGCTCCAGTACATTCTCGGAACCGAAACCAGTGACTCAAGCAGACTTGGCACTTGTTTGCAGAGGAGCCCTGGGGCCAGGTTTGCACACGAATCAGGAAGCCTCGTTTCGTCATGAGTGCTCGGAGCAGTGCCCGCGAAGACGGCACGACGAACCGCCTAGGCCCAAACAGCAGTGCGGCTTGAAACCAACATCCCAGTGGCCCTGTGTCAGCCAATGGCTCTGCAAGGAAGGAGCCGTGATGCGTGCGTGGAGCTTGAAAGAGCTTTCCAAAAATACTTGCGCTGAAGAAAATCGCCAGGCCTTTTTCCAGGCAGGGAAAGGTTCAAAGGTGAAGCCCACCTCTCCAATCTATGTACAATGTTCGTGAAACCGCCCTAAGACGAAACGTGCCGTGATGGCACACTTGTCTGCATTGCTGGATGCCTCAGTAAGGACTGGGAGCCTGGCAGGAGCCCTAGAGTATGAACAGTTTGTGGCACATCATTGAAAGAAGGCGAACCTGTGCCGCAGCCAGCTGAACTTTTGCAACAATGAGATCTTGAAGTCGTTATCCCGTGGCCAAGGTCGACAGCCGGGATGTCCTCAAAGCATGTCATTACCACCGTGTCCACCGAGATGTTGGGCTCTCATCTGCAAACGGTCAGGATGCTGAGCACGGATGCTTGCTTCCGAGGACATGTTTGGCAACAAGGAGCTCTGGTCTTTTCGCCGCGCTGTACCGCGTCGTCAGGGAGGTTGGGGTAGAACCTGAACTTGTTTTCTCCATTCGATACCTTGCGAGAGGAGCCGTGTGACAGGAGCCTCCAAATACAACAACACCTTTACCACCGCCGCCTGAAGTTGACGAGGGTTTGACTCTAGGAGCTTTGCTTGCCATCGCCGCGGCCTAAGCCGGCTCGCGCACCGTTCGGCAAGTCTCCCTGAGCCTTTCACAGGGCTTGCAGTTCATGAGGTGGGAGGAGGAACTGTTCTCCTTTGTGGCTGCACGGGAGGCCTTTATGTCATGGCCGCAGCGAGATCAAGAGCTTGAGCCTAGTCTCCCAAGCGACTCAGACTCAGGCCTGGCACAAGATGAGGTCCTCAGCTCGGCATCGGACAGGTCATCTCGCATGTGTGACTGCGCTGCGTCCAGGTCTCGTGAGCCCGTGGAGCCCGAACCCGAGGAGGAGGAAGAGGCCACCTCCGTTTCGCTGAGCTTCTATGACCTCCCGTTTTCCACATTTCAAGAAAGTCAGGAAGTCGTGGAGACGGAGTCCGAGTCGGAGGCCAGCGGCCAGACAGAGAGAATGCTAGCAACAAGCTCTTTTCTTCAGGTTAATGCTCTGTTCTCCTAGCAGCAGCGTGTAATCACTTGCGCATTGCGTTGTCTGCGTTCCTTTGCATCGTAGACATGCCCGTGGCAGATTGCTGAGCTTCCTGATCCGGACCGGCCAACATGCCCGAGATTCGCTGCTTTCGCTGCTTGCAATTAGAAATGCTGACATGGGCAGCCGGGCTGCTCGAAGGACCCTGCACTGACAAAGCTGCGCTTGGCCGCTGAAGCCGGGACTCTGACCGTCATGGACTTAGTGCTGAGCATGGCTGAACGCACTGCAACTTTGCAGCCGTAGCTTTGGCATGACTAGTCAGCCATCATGCGTTCCTGGAGCGGGTGATGTGGAGCAGGCGCGTGAAATCTTGGCGAATCATTCCGGCCCCATGGGCATTCGCCAGGTTCAATGGCACTGTGTGCTTAGTGTCATCACGCGTTATCTCACAGCACGTGACGTTGTGGACAGGAACTGGTGTGGGCTTTGGACAAGGGCTACGAGAAGAAGCGGCGTGAAGCACAAGCTAAGGCCATGCCATTAGACCTTCAACCTTTCATTTTGGGCCACGCATCGGCCACGTGGCTGGCCGCATCAAGCCAATCAACCGCATTTGTCGGCTCAAACCTGAGATGTAGAGAGACTTCTGATTCTGATTGTGTTGCGCATGATGGAAGCACGGCGTCGAAGGAAACATGTAAGTATCATATACCGGAAGTGTTCCACGCTGCAACGTCTTAACGCATTTCTAGCCTGGCGCACATCCAACGCCGCACTCGATCGTGCCTCGAGCTCAGGGTCTGACAGATTTCTCCTGCTGGTCTGCGAGACACGTCCATGCAGAGGCAGATGGCCGCTATGGAGGTTGAATGGAAAGAGTGCTTCGACCTGTACGACAAGGACCCTCTGCGTGGGCTCTGAAAGATCCTGGACCCATGCATGCTGGGGTTTCACATGCAGTGATGGGTGGGTGACTGTCCGCAGGATTCTGATGGCAAGATAAAGGCCACGGATCACGGATTGAGCATATTTGGTGTGCTTTGTAACCCCACGTGGTTGAAGGCCACCGAGCTGGGAGATGTGCTGAGATCCTTGGGACTGGTCCTCACTCAGAAGGAAGTGCAAGAGCTCAAGGACAGTTTTCATTTCTGATGCGTGCCTGCTCCCCGTCAGTTTCAGATGTTTCTGGAAATGCCACACCCTTGGTGTCGCCAGGACGAGGTTGGCAGTGACTTAGTGTCCTGGGAGAAGTTCAAAGACCTGGCAGCAAAGAAACCGCGTCAGCCAGAGAAGCAGGCTCAAAATCGCACTAGAAATTAATAGGCACACCTGTTCAAAGCAGTCTCGCTGCCCTGCTGCAGGCACATGCACTGCTGCAGGCAAGGTGCTGTTGAACGAGCCGGCGCTGGGTCTCGAACAGTACGCTTCTGTACAGGGTCAAGTGTGCTTTCAGGCATTCCAAGCCTTTGACCAAAGTGGTTCCGGGCAAGTGGACATGAAAGAGTTGCGGCACATTGCCTGGTCCTAAGAGCTCATGCAAATCCAGTCCATTGCGGCCCCAACGAGAGGTGACGAACCTTGGCGAGAAGCTCACCACCAAGGAATTCGAGGCAACTTGCGTTTCTCGCCGTCTTTTGCTGCTGTTCGTTGGCCCGTGTGCAGGAGATCTGCAAGGCTGCTGACCTGCCAGCAGCGGGAGCGCTTGATTACAAAAAGGCCAGCAAGAAACGACGAGATGCGTCAACTGAGAGCCCTCCTTCTGAGGTGGTGGACAAGGTTACCAAGACTTGAGCAGAACAAGATCCAGAATGGCAAATGCTTGCTTGGTTTCCAAAAGCCCAACTGCGTGCATTTGTTTGCCGGCTTATGTGGTATCAAGCGTGTGCAGCGGGTGGGGGGGGCAGGGCGGAAGAAGAATGTTCTCGTTGAAGTCGCTTCCAGGTGTTCCAAAAAGACACGGTCAAGGAAGAGCTTGCTGACCTCGCAAAGTGTCGCGGAGCATGGTTGACATCGACAGCTTTATCTCAGACGGTCCAGAGCATCTTGCCAGGTCTGATTCAGGAGACGATGCCTCTGGAGCCAGCTTTACGCCCATCCATGCAAAGGCGCTTGTCAATCGCTGTGCTTGTGGTTTGTACATGTGTGCATGTAAACCAGATGCAGCGACTGAAGGCACCTGCCAAAAAAATGCGGCGGCTGGGAGCTCAAACGGAGACTGTGCACGCGATGTGATTGTGTTCGGTGCTGACCGGCGCGATCGTATGCCGCGTGTCGCTTGTTGTTCAGGCAACAATCGCCAGGGCATTGAGCTCAGCGATGCCTTGTTTGAGAAGTGCACTGCCTTCACCAAGCAGCCTCCCTCAAGGCAGTCAGACCCCAGATCCTCCCGGACATCCAGGATCGGTTCTAGTTCTTGTTGTGATGTTCTTTGCTCTGAGTTTGGCGGCGTCAGGGGTTCGGGGTCACGGCGGAACTCCGGGTCACGACGCCGCTCCGAGCAGTCCGGGTTGCTACCTCAGCGACCGTCTCAGCTAACACTAAGTCCAGTTTGTCGGTGCCAGGAAGTCCAGGCAGTCGGGACAGTCCGGACAGTCCTGCACCCGGACATGAAGTGCGGCAGGCTTATGCATTTTGATTCAATGCCTCTGTCTTGCCAGTCTAAGGCACTGAGACCCACCGTTAATGCAAACCCGGAAACGGCAGCGTTTCCGTTGGTCTCACCAGCTGGAGAATCCAGCAAGGCATGCACCATGCCGTAGTAAACATGTTAATTCGTGAGCATGTACGCAAAACATTTGATGCACAGACTTTGACATCTGACATGCGCGGAAGCTAAGCAGTTCAATCAGGAAGCACAATGATCATATGAAGTGCCGTGCTTTTCATGTCCTTGCCGCTGATTGCCAATTGTGGCTCTAACCTTCCCACAGACCAATGAGGGCCGGTGATGAGGACCACTGTGCTCTCGAGTTCCGCGAAAAGTCCATCACGAACAGTTTTTGTTGGCAGTTGTGGCCAGGACGAGGATGAGGCTTTCAGCTACCCGGAGCTGCACTGCCGCTGCCTGGGCCTCGGTCTCCGGAATGGTGCATGGATGTTATTGGATACTCCCGGTACCGACCGCATCCAGCCTGCGAGATCTAGCTTCTCAAGCCGCCGAAGTTGTGAGCAGGAGCAGCTTTGGGAAATCATAGTAAATAATTTGAACACGAGCCCCACCAGCTGGGAGAGTTCGTGTGGGCAGAGTCTGCTTTTTGAATAGGATTTGGGTCGGCGGCGAGGCACACCGAATCGTTGTCACAGTAGGCATGCTTGTGGCTCAGGTGGCGTGGTTTGCAGTCGGGCTGCCGGGATCCTGGAATTTACCGAAGAAGTCTTCACCAAGTGTGCGACTTCTCAGAATTTCTGCGGCATGCTGGCAGAATGGTTGTTTTCAGACAGAAGCGGGTGGCAAGCACGGGTTTTAATTAGGTGCACAACGTGTCAGTCAACGGGTGTTTCATCGTGAGCTATTTCACTGGCAACGTTCCGCAGATTCAGCACCAGATGACGTCAGCAGTAAGGTCAAGGCTGCAATCCAGGAGGCGGAAGACATGGTCATGGCAAGTCATAGGAGCATGTCTCCAGACCCGACCTTGCATCTGCAACAAGTAGGCTGAAAGACTTGCGGCGAAGTCAGGGACATCTGAGATGGTCAACAACTCGGAGCTGCATCGCCATGCCCGAGCCCAAAAAGAGTGCATCTTGAGGTGCAAATAGCCGAACGGGTCCTGGAAAGCCTGGCAGTGCGCCACTTCTTGCTGCCGTTTGAAGAGCAGGCAGCATTCTGCATGGTTGCAAATGCTAGCTTCCTGTGTAATTGAGCAGGATTGGCCCGAGTTGCTCCAAAGTGTGGCAGCCATCGGAATCCAGGCCGAAGGTTCTTGAATGTAGCCGCACATCATGGCACATCATCGCATTCCGCAGGCTCTCAACCTGCAATATGGCCGGTCAGCACAACTTGTTGGACTGAGTTCCTTGCGGACTCTGGCCGGAAACATAACAATCTCTGTGTGAGCAGTTCTGAACGTGTTTCGACAGAAACGAGCTGGAGGCGAAATGGTTGGAGCTTCACAGGACGCAGAACGACCGGAGACTATGCTGCTGCACTCTGCACCAGTCACCAGCACATGGGGACGTGCAGGACATGGCCTAACAGCTTGGAGCTGATGTCAAGCGCCGTGGCTGCACCTCGTTTCTGTAGAATGGTAGAAACCTGTGCTGTGCCACGATATGCCACGCACATACTCCTCGCTGTATGAGGAACTGGTTCTTTGCATTGGCCCCAGCTGCACACTTTCTCCTTTGCATGGACCAGGCCATGCAGTCAGATGTCTTCCCGAGACGTTAAGCGCCTGAGGTCGGCACCGGGCAACGGCAGGACACCTCGCCCACAAAGTCAACCCAGCACGAGGGGGCGGGCGGGATTCTCAGCTTTGCAATTGAACCGGCTGCCGTCGCCTGCCACACTCAAGCAAGACAGGCTCCGGTCTTGGAAGGCGCATCCATCGAAGATGTGCATGCACCAAGCTAGATCCGATGTACAGACTGGTATATCACCAGGCATCGAAACTGACCCCAGTCCAGAGCGCAGGGGGTCTGTGGACAGAACCTCAGCTGTCAAGGTGCTTGCTTTGGCTTCATGCAGTAGGAAAACCTGCAGAATAACAGCACCTACCGTTGATTTCTCAAAGCCATGACGACACTCTGCACAGAGGATCCTGCAGGTTGCGAGATGTGCATCACAACTTGGTTTGCTGACTATGCCGTGATGGCACCGTGCAGATCTGCCTCAGGCTCCAGGCACTCCTCCGTCCAGCTGCGCCATGCTGAGACCTGCCGGAATCCAAGAGCTTCGGATCCTGCAAAAATCAAGGCTTGCCTTGGTGCTTCGAGAGATGCCCTGAATTGAGAGAACATGAGCGGGCAGCTGCCAGAATGAAACAGGAGGGAGCTTGCATATCCATTGAGTCTTCCCAGCACCGAGGCTCTCGGCGGCATCCGGGCAAGGTCTTCGGTTTTGGGAACTTGTTTTGAAGCTGAATTTCCGAGTCCAGCATGCCCCACGCGAGGGCGCAGGTTCGAAGCCGCAGTGCTCCAGTTCGAGGTGGCTGGTCGCCCAGGATCGAAGTTTGAAGGTTCATCGTTTGAAGTCATGTTTGGGATGTTCCTTTGCAGACATCCCGATGCATTGCAATTTCAATTTGTCAGGAGCTCGCCACGGGGTGCTGCAGGGCACTCGAATAAGGCTTTTTGTGTGTACATAGTCACTTGGTAGGCTTCAAGTTTTGCAGCTCCTCTTAGCCGAGGCTCCATTGCCGTGGAGGTCAACACCACGGGCAGCTCAGGACGAGGCCGAAAGTGTTTGAGATACTTCGAAAAGATAGCAAGCGCCTCCACGATTTTCAACTGTGAGCAGTGGCTGAAAGCATAAAGATATCAGGATATCCTGCGGCACCAACGGTGCAGCACAAGACTGCGCTGGTGCTATGAGTTGAGCAGGCTACCAGCTGCCGGCACTTCGGCATCGTGAGAGCCTGAACTGAGCATGTCATGGCAAGTGGGTGGGTGGCGTCTGCCCAGATGCCATGCGGTTGCACCTGCGAGTTGCGCAGGGAAAGGCAGACTCGACAGAGCCTTTGTTTGCTTTGTATCCAAGTGCCTAGGCACCCTCGCAGTTCTCTGCACCTCTTCCCTCTGCGTGCCCAGCCGCACCACTTCAGCCGTGAGCGGCCGAGTGCAGCGATACGTGCAAGTGAGAATGATAATCGACGTTCAGACAGCCGTTGTGTTCGTGCAAGGCTCCCCGCTGCTTCTGGGATACCTCGAGAGCCGATCACGTCCCGCGAGCCAATCACCACGCTTCCTCCACCCACACTTTCCGATTCAACTGCCACATTCGGAGCGGTGCTCCCGACAAGCCCACCTTTGGGGCCGGGCCGACCGGGGCCGCACTTCACACCCATGCCATGCACTGCGCCATGTACATCACCACTGCCACAGTCAAGTCCAGCGCCTTTGGCTCCAGTGCCTCCATCGCAAAATCCCACGAATCCAGACTTCAGCCCAAGACGTGCGCGCATGACCGGGGGTCCTATCGACGACCGGGAGCCTTTACGCCGGTGGCGGCTCAGAGAAGCACTGGCCTCGTCTCATTTTCTGGAGCTTCAACGTGTTTTGGTTTAGGGTCACGCCTGCCAAGGGAGCAGCGAGCTCCGCCAGAGAACAGCCACCTGCACAGGAGCCTCATGGATCATGGAGCGGCCGCATCACCTGACCTTCGGTGTTTCTACAGAAGTGCATGCGTTGCAGATCGGCGCAGAGCGTTTTAAGTGAGGACGAGTGGTACCACACGCTCATGCCGCTGCCCGAGTTCAACGTATTTCTTAGCACAAGTCGCGATCCGTGCCTTCTTGCTCATCCGTTCGAGGTCTCGACTACGCCGGCTGGGAGAGGCATTGCAATGCCTGTACATGGCTGCTGCGTCTCCGTTGCCGGCTTGCTCGGCTACGGTACAGGTGGCAGCACCCGGTGGAGAAGACTGGACAGGCAAGGCACAGAGTTCATTCGTGGACAAGGGAATAAGATGATGTAGGGCCAAAGCTGTTATGG